TGTCAATGATGTCAAAAAACCAGGACTTTAATTTATCGTGGGGAATGGTTGTATACAGAGTTGAAATGTGTCATACGTTTTTATGCTATTGATTTTGGTAAACTTTTGTGATTTTAAATTTTCCAAAAGTTCCTTGGAATTTTTAAGTATCCACATCTGATTTACACCACTTCTCGAATGTATTGTTGCACAATTCTCCTGAAGTTTCTCTTTCACTGCTGTGAATATTTTAGGAGGAGTAAAGAAAGAGGCTTAGAAGGACTTTTACTGGAACCCGCTAATCGTAAAATATCGTTAAATAAAATGAGATTAAGAAAATGATATAAAACTGGAAAAATTAAACTAAAAGTAAGAATTAAAATAAGAATATGTGAGAAGAAAACACTTGTCGTGGTCTTCAACTCGACATTTAGATATATCGACGACATATTATCAGTTAACAATAGATATTTCCATTCATTATTCGACACAATATAATTTGAAATAAAAGATACCCTAAAGTCAGACACATTTGTTTCATACTTGGATATTTTACTAGGAAAAGACTTAATGGTAACCTTACAACAAAGCTTCATGAATAACTTTTCAATCGTCAACTTTCCTTACTGATGCAGCATCTGCATACGGGGTTTATATCTCTCAGTTGATTCGATACGCAAGAGCATGCTCTACGTATGTACAATTTCTAAAACGAGGTAAATTCTTGACAAACAAGTTGATGAAACAAGAATATCAACAGTCTCGTTTAAAGTCATCATTTCATAAGTTCTATGGTCGATACAATGACATTGTCAGCAAAAAAAAATCTTTCATTAAGTCAAATGCTGACTGACATTTTTCACACTAATTGTTAGGCCATTATTTACACACTGAATTGTCTAGGGATTTTCCCGTTATTTCCCGATCACGACAAGGAGCAAATGGTGGGTATGACCGGTCGGCAGGGATGCTCACTCCTCCATGGCACTTGATCCCACCTCTGATGTTTTAGAGGTCCTTGTTTGCTCTGCTCCTGATTTGTATTGTTTGAATGGACTTTTGAGCTTGAATACTGTTCGTTATTACCATATTGCATGATATGAATTATTTCCCGCTTATGCACGGCATGCGGGGATCTGGATGGGCTACGGTGTTTAAGTTTCTAGCCGAAATTTCCAATGACCTTCAATGCCGAAGGAATATCACTATCTACATGTATGTTAAAATATCTAGGTTTGACACGGCACTGGAAATATTGGACAATCGAACTCTGAGCTCCCATGGCGTACAAAGCTATCGCCCATAGACACTAGGCTACTGTGATCAGTGTGCCAGTTATTAAGAAGTAACTTCAGTTAATTGCAATATCAAATTAAAAAAAAAAAACACCCAATAAATATTGGTTCGTGACAACGTTTTAGGGGGGCTTCTAAAAACGTTTGCGAGCAAAAATAGATAATCAAATAAAATGAAATACTTATATTAATTCCTAAAACTCGTCCTACTTAGTGGGAGGGTGATAAGGATCTTCCTTTAAAATCCTTATCACCTTATGGGTAAAATGAAATGTAATTCTAAAAATTTAAGATAGAATCAAAATAAGACAGAAAAATTGTCAAAAATGAAATATAGACGAAAAAATAAAATTGGAATATTTAAAGAAGTGAGAATTAAAATAAGAAATAAAAATAAAATCATTGATATTTGGGTAAAAACAAGAAGTTAGAATACAGCTAGAAAATAAAACATTAAAAAAAGTGGTACTGATACTCCCCCATACTTTCTCATAATCAAAATTTGACAAACGTCTTCACTTTACATTTGCAGACTTGTGAATCGTCTAAGTGGGTTTTTTTTATCAGAGATCGGCAATATAGATAGCAGAAAACACCTAGAGGGATGAAAGGTTAACTTACAACACATGCAAGTTTAATGTCTTGTTTACTACAAGTAAACGAAATGTACAAGTATGATATCAAGCGGACAAAAGTACAGTAAATTCTGAAGTTGTATGTTCGGAACTACATGCTAAAATGTCGGAATTACCTACTTGAATGTCTAGACTAGGAACCTGATACGATTTTAAGTTCGGATTTACAAACTTACAAGTCTGAACACGTTTACCCTCCATACTTTAGCACCCTTTTCTCGTGACTGCTGCCTTTTTTTTATTTTGTTCAGAAAAGGATCGAGCGTGGGAGGGGGATCTTTAGTAAATGAAATTTACCCTCCAAGGTAACACGGATCTCTTGCTTAAGATCAAGCTTAAATGTCCATTAGAACAATACAGGTAGGGAGCAGAGCAAATACGGACCTCTATGACATCAGAGGTGTCATGGAGGAATAAGCATCCCCTGTTGGCCGGTCATACCCGCGGTGTGCTGCTGTCATGATCAGGTAAACGGAAATATCCGTGGACAATTCAGTGTGAAAATAATGGCCCAACAATTCGTATGAGCAATATAAACATTGGCGTCGGAAGCAAATTGAAAGTGGGGGGGGGGGGGGGCTAATTGATGAAAGAGAAAAAAAATCGAACCTGAAAAAAACTTGATAAGCAAAATAAAAAAAAAGTAATTGTCCAGATGCGAAAATCCTATTTCGTGTGTGTGTGTGTGGGGGGGGGGGGGGGGGAAGGGGGGTCAAACTTCTTTCAGTACCATTTTTTTTCCAAACTCTAACACTTACCCTTCTTTGACTACACTGCAACCTGTGCCTCTTGAAAGGGGGGGGGGGCTAAACCTTCGCCCAATGTTCAATGCCTAAATTATGTCTATCTTTGCCAAAAAAGGGAGGGGGCTAAGATTAAAAAAAGTTAAAGTCATCACATTTATCATTAAGTAAAGTTGTAAGATTGCCATTAATTTCTTTCTCTAGTAAAGCATCCAAATATGAAAACATGTGTGTCAGTCACTGCGATGTGTTTTATTTCGAGATATATTGAATTAAAATTGAAGAAAAAACGAAATATCAAATTGAAGACCACAGCATCATACTTCTTCTTCTCATGTAGGAGTTTTTGAATAAATCCTATGATATCAAAATATCTAATTCCCTTTTTTCTAAAGTGATATTAACAGTTTGGTCAGTTATCTTCAATAGCACGATGCCTCGTTGCATAAAGTTTTGAAAGACCTAAAATAAAACTTCGAAGCTTACTTTTTAAGGAATGCTTTTGGCTAAATATTCTGTTCTTTATCAATGAAACTTGCCTTTTTCTAGAAAAATGTTTTGTCTAGCATTTGAAATTCTGTAAATATTGTGTGCATCTATATTTTTTCTGTATGAAAGTAGCTTTCAATGAATTTATTGTTAAAAAGAAAATCTAATTTTGCTTTCCAATAATTTGATGACAAATATGTATTTCATTCATGTAAATGTGGATGGCTTTAAAAATTGATTTTTGATGCTAAGAGTCATTAAACTCCACTGAGAGATAATTTTCAGATTTTTTTTGGTTTTCCACGCTTTCTTGTGCTGTAAACGGAATCAAAGTTATAATAATGCAGATGCAAGGCGTTGGTGTATGAAGTACATTTAGAATTAGATATCATTCAGGTTTTTGGGCAGTGTCGTGATAAATTGATCGGCAATTTTACTCATTCTGCATTGCGTAGATAACTTGTGGCATATTGTGTCTGATCTTGGGGCATTTCATAACATCAACCTAAATTACTTCTGTTTCTCTAGTGTTTCTGCTACATGAAGGGTTTTCCAAGTCAATTATACTGAAATTATACCGAGTTTAAGATTGATTATGGAATTAAAATCATTTTTCGGAACCCCTTGGCATTCTGCCATTTCATTCTGTGACATTTCATAAGAGTATCGTCATGCTACTTTTTATCGAAGGAAATTGATTATTACGTATTATTTTTGTTACCAGGGTAAGGGCATTATTAAGACATACAAGAAATGAAATATATGGAGATAACGAACAGTATTTAAGCTCAAAAGTCCATTAAACATTACAAAATAGGAGCAGAGCAAACACGGACCTCCAAAACACGGTTCTCCAAAACACTATCATATCTAACATATATACAAGTAAGGGAAAACCGCCGATGAATTGTGGTAAAATTATAGACTTTGTTTTTAAAAAGCAAGAAAAATTTCTCTATGTAAAAAGTATTGGATAGTATATGATCTTGGATCTTGAAAAGAATTGATTTTTAAAGTAAATAAAGTGATATGAATATTTAGTGTCCGTTATGATAGATATTTGAAGAGAATATTTAAAGAAGAAATTTCTTCATGAACCTCTCTATTAAAGCCAGATTTAAATAAGCTCATCTGGCGATGATTGGTGCTGCAACAAAATATCGGAAAATATCTGTATATATATATATATATATATATATATATATATATATATATATATATATATATATATATATATATATATATATATATATATATATATGATTTAAAATGTCACATTGGGTACATTTTGTGCAATGCATTGCTCTTAATTTTAACATACTAACTATCAAAATTAAGCATTCTCAAGAGAAGCAGAAAAGCAAGCCAAAATAAAACTATCATATACATTATTAAATGCCATAATTGAAAATTTATTAGAAAGAAATCCAACTGCGCAGGAGCATATCCATGTATCTTTGTTCTATTGATCCATTGATTTCACGGGAGGCAAGCTGTAAGAGAGGTTTTCTGAATTGTCGTGGAACCCCTAGTACTGCGACTTCAAAAGATGAAAAGGACTTTGAAAATATGGTAAAGAAGATAATGTTGGTGACAATTTTCTGGACAGTGTTAGTCTTGCTTTTAGTCCTATCTTCAGCTTTTGGTGAGTAAATTCTCTCTCTCTCTCTCTCTCTCTCTCTCTCTCTCTCTCTTTGTACGTGCATGTGTCTGCCCAGGGAGCGGAAAATTACGAATCCTTCTCGGAAATGATTATTTTTAATGTTTATAAAGAGAAAAGCGAAATCTTCTTTGAGAGATAAAAAAGAATTAAATGTATGGGTCATTTCGTAATAAAGATATATCTATAAATATTATAGATGGTAGCTGAAAATAAGAAAAATAAAACTAAACTACAGCGTAAGTAAACAATGCATAATGATATTCTTCTATTTCCAAATATGTAAATTTTCATTTTATGTCAGAATAGGCCATAAAGACGTTCAATTCAACTTCTCGTATGGAATGTTTATAATGAACAATTCAAGTGAGAAATGCAGTGTAATAAAAATTTGGTTTTGTTTTGAACATTTTTTATTGAATACATCAAAAGGATTGGAAACAAGTTCTATATAACTTACTAAGTTCCTCTCCTTATATATTACAATATGTCATGCATCTGAAAAAAATAATACAATTGATACAAGTGAAAAAGCAATTAAATAACATATCAACTAGAGAATCTACATGTTTAGGCAATAAATTTATGAACAGTAAAAACATTGGTAAATGCATACAGTATGATACATATAAAGGCAAGAATGTACAAAGAAAGTCTCGAAAACTGTAAAAACATGCATTTTAAAAATGTTTTTAATATATTGTCGCTGGTGTAAAGACGAATGATGACCGCCATCGGATAATGACCGGGGTCTTTTTTTCAAAACCAGAAAAAAGTCCCGTTCGTGATTCTACTTGAAAAATGGGTCTCAGGGCCTGTAGAAAATGTGTCATCAACCATGAAATCTGCGTACCCTACGTGAATATATACAACCCCTGCAGAATAATGAATCCCTTTTAAATTCTATTAAGGATGTATTTATGGGATACACTAAAGAATGATAACTCTTAATGTTCTAAATTGAACTTGTGGTCGCGTAAATGATGTCGTAAAGATAGTTCACAAATCATTATTTGAGTAAATTGAATTTACCATTCATGATGAATTAACAAATTAACTTTGGAACCTAAATGCAGCCTTCTTGTTCCTTAGGTTCATCACTATCACTTTCGACTTGCGAACCATACTGCGGTTCTACTGTTGCGAAAAGCCATGGGTTTAAAAATGAAATTAAACTAACACTATATTTGTGTTCCTTCGTACATAAATACTAGTATACCAATGTTGTTCTTGAGAAAATATTAAATTAATACTCTCCTGTATATTTCTATGTAAAACTTCAATTCTATCCCCGACGTGATCACATTCTTGAGCCGACATTAAACGACAGTATCATATTGAATAATTAATATCCAAGAGAGGTCCTTTTCATAAAAAAAACGGATGTTCGTATGAAAATTTAATGAAAACATACATATACAGAAACCTTTTTTCTCTTTATCATTTGTAGAGCTCATGCCATGACTTTACTTTTCTGGTATTTATTACAAGCATGAGAACATACCAAATATAACACAATAATATTCAATTAATAATGAAATTCGTTGACACTGCATGTTTGTTTGAGGCCATACAAAAAAAAACATAGTAAAAATAATGAAAACAATGATAAATAATACAAAATAAAAATACCTAAACTCATCAATAATTCTTGCATTGCTCTTTTGGCATTGATGATTTGTCAGAAATTCATTCATTTTTTGGCGAAAGCACAAAGAAAAATGATTATTCTAAAAGCCTTAATAAGTAATCATATGAATGTTTGTTGGGTTCATGATGTTTACTGGATAGTTTCACGTAATGGATACAGTCAGCATTTTAAAAAAGTCACGAACATATTTTGTTTCTAATATTTAATTTAAACTTGATCGGCAGGGTTTTTTCCCTTTTCGACAAATGACACTGAATTCATTCTGAGTTAAATAAAATATTATAAGGAATATTTTCTTCGAAAATGTTTTGAATATTTTGGGGGTTTGTGTCATTTATTGAAGATGAGCATAATTCATTATTTTTTACCCTTTGTGGAAAATAATTAAGATTGAAAATCTTTTTTCATTGACAATATCTTTGTAGTCTTTGGAGACCAGGACTTTGAATTTTGATAAGAATCAATTGTCCTCTTATATAAGTCAACCTTTTTTGATATACATATGAGGTAGAATTTATTTTAGAGAACTCTTACATGTAAATGAGAAGAAAACTCTTGTTGTGCTTTTCACTACACAATTTTATAACTACGTTTTATCAATTAACAAATACTTATTTTCATTTATCCATATCCAAAATAAACTCGAAATAAAAGACCACTGTTTCAGACTTGGGTATTTTACTGACTGTAGACGTTAATGACCAATCAGCAACTTAACTTCACGACGAACAGGATGTTTTTAGCTTTTCCTTCAACAGCTTTCCCTATTTTGTTAGTATTACACAACCACCTGCAATACATGTGTGTTCTTTATGTCTCCAAACTGATTCGGTACGCAGATGCGAAGCTAACTACAGTCAAAGTTTAAAGTTAGTATTTCGCAAATTCTATGATCGTTATATGGCCTTGCTTGCAAATACAATCTATCCTTTAGTAGTATAATGTCTTCAATGTTTCCTGTCAATTGTTAGGTCTGTATAGTTCTTATAACAATTTGACCAAGGATCATTCCGTGTACTTGATCAGTTAAGAGGACTCAAGGCGTTGTGACCGGTAGACAGGGAATGTTTACTCCTCCTAGGCACCTAATCCCATCTCTCGTTTTTTCCTAAGGTTCCTATTTTTGCCAATCATCGAATATTGAACAAACTTGACATTTTCATTTTTAAAAAGTAAACCACTCATCAGTGCAAGTATATGTTTGTAAAAAAAAAAGTGCTATGGTTTCCAGAAGAATATCACACGGTCAAAGTATTGCCAATTAAGGCAGTCTGATCCTCAGGTTCTGAAAATAAGCAGCTACGATACGGAGAATGCTAAAAAAAGTCTATGAATTCACAAAGTAATGTGTATTTATCCCTGTTCAAATTTCCTTGTTATAGTTAATAATATTATACAGGGAATATGTTTTCAGGAAATGCGAATGAAACCAAAAGTTAACGTATTTTCTGATTTAAAACTTATCATCGAGTATACTTTAAGATAAAAAAAAAAAAATAGGTATCCAGGCATTCGGAGAAAACTGCATGTTCTTCATACATACAAAGGTGCCTCAAAATCCGTAGACTGAGCTCGTATCTTGTTAAAAAAAATTATATATCTTTTTACAATTTTCTGAGTGGATAAAGTGTGTTGTTGGCTGATAAATTTTTAAGTTTTAACATGGTCACTTAAAAACAATTCGAGATATAAGAATTGAAGTGTTATCGCTCCCTAACACCCGGAGCAATCTCAAAAAAGAAAAATGTTAGAGGAGGTGGGTTAAACTAATTACCAGAATCCATTTCTTCATCATAAAGGTTATAGATATAAATATGAGATATCTTAATCATTATGATATGATATGATATGATTTAATATTAGAATATATAAATAAAGAACGTACATGTATCAAATAATAATTTTGAAAAAAACATGTTTTTATTGGTTTTTCGTCTGTCTGCTCCAATGGAGTTTGAATTCATCATTTCGAAAGTTTTATGGTCGATACAGTGACCTTATCAACTAATAAAATCTATCATTAAGTCAATGCTGACTGACATTTTTCATACTAATTGTACAGCCATTATTTACACACTGAAATTTTTACGGATTTTCCCTTTTACCCGATTATGACAAGGAGCACACGGCGGGTGTGACCGGTCGACAGGCGATGCTTACTCCTCCATGGCACCTGATCCCGCCTCTGATGTTTTTGGAGGTTCGTGTTTCCTCTGCTTCCCATTTATATTGTTTAAATGGACTATGAGCTTGAATACTATACGTTATCTCTATACTTTGTATCGCTTTACACAGTATCAATCTTGTCCGATTCTTTAGTCGGTTTCTTTTTTTAATTTCCTTTCTTCACATACTTAGAAAAACCGTTTCATTCATTTTCATATACCAACGACCATGTGTACCTAACATTTATGACTTATGCGTTTCTGTAGGAGTGAACTAAGATTAGAACTAGTGCGCCACCTGTGGTCAACGCAGCCGTCATTTTTCAAGAACTCCGAGTCAGATTTCATCCAGTGGATATAAAACGTTATAAAATCATACTAATCAAAGCATATACACGAATATAAGAGGAAAGTTAGTTAACAATACAATATTGAATATTTTTGTTTCTATTTCCAAAATTCTGAGTAATAACTGCATTTTCGAAGAAATTTACATTTTATATACCGATTTTTAACTCCAATTCTTGGGAACTCTTGGTTTAATATATTATGTACAATGTTTCATTAATTTTTGATGCCGGGTTCCTATTAAACTACGTTTGTCTACGGAATTTTTGGAGAGCCCTCATGTTTTAGGACTTCTATTAACTTCAACTGATATATAATACTTGTGCATAGTATTGAAGCCTGTGCTACCATTTCAAGACATCATAGATCACTTTCAATTTCATATCATGCTTATAAGCATTGTTATTTAAGGTAAGATTAAAGGATTTCTCTGATTGGTCAGAAGGATAAGCACCCAGTTTATCTGTATAATTATAGCAATTTACGATTATTGTTCTTGACTTCCTTATATGGAAATCTTCCAGACATTTTGAGTGTTTGTCGCATTCGAAATTCAAGTAGAAGAATTTTTTTGGTTCTCATTTTGTGCTTTTCTTCATAAATTCTAGGCTGTGAAAATTCACCTGACATTCGCATGAGGCCTGTATAATTTAAGGAAGTTTTTTCTTATATCTAAATGGTTTGCAAATCCTGTTATTTGGTGATCAATAACTACACACTTGAACAATCACTAACGAAAGATCATTATTTGAAATTATATAGAGAAACACTTTTAATATCCACATAAAGGTGGACTAATAAGACGCTCTGAATCGTTCCTAAACATTTTTCAAGCTTTAACAATTACAAAATGGAAAAACATTAGACTGATTCAAATATTTACTGATATAATTTACCGTTTTAGATATATGTACCTGAAAATACTTTGTTCTTTTTAAATTCATTATAAATTCTGTGTACCTGTTAAGTCATCATCAAAATTCTTTTAATGTAAGGAAATATAGTAAAAATTAAGATGAAGTATCAGAAAGTTCGTGGTCTGATGCAATAAAATTAACACTATATATGTTGTGCTTACAAAATTTATAAGTAACATTAAACAATAAAATCCTAAGAAAATTATTTTAGTTGAGATGTTGATAAGTTTTATTTTATCGTTATGTACAATGTTTCATTAATTTTTGATGCCGGGTTCCTATTAAACTACGTTTGTCTACGGAATTTTTGGAGAGCCCTCATGTTTTAGGACTTCTATTAACTTCAACTGATATATAATACTTGTGCATAGTATTGAAGCCTGTGCTACCATTTCAAGACATCATAGATCACTTTCAATTTCATATCATGCTTATAAGCATTGTTATTTAAGGTAAGATTAAAGGATTTCTCTGATTGGTCAGAAGGATAAGCACCCAGTTTATCTGTATAATTATAGCAATTTACGATTATTGTTCTTGACTTCCTTATATGGAAATCTTCCAGACATTTTGAGTGTTTGTCGCATTCGAAATTCAAGTAGAAGAATTTTTTTGGTTCTCATTTTGTGCTTTTCTTCATAAATTCTAGGCTGTGAAAATTCACCTGACATTCGCATGAGGCCTGTATAATTTAAGGAAGTTTTTTCTTATATCTAAATGGTTTGCAAATCCTGTTATTTGGTGATCAATAACTACACACTTGAACAATCACTAACGAAAGATCATTATTTGAAATTATATAGAGAAACACTTTTAATATCCACATAAAGGTGGACTAATAAGACGCTCTGAATCGTTCCTAAACATTTTTCAAGCTTTAACAATTACAAAATGGAAAAACATTAGACTGATTCAAATATTTACTGATATAATTTACCGTTTTAGATATATGTACCTGAAAATACTTTGTTCTTTTTAAATTCATTATAAATTCTGTGTACCTGTTAAGTCATCATCAAAATTCTTTTAATGTAAGGAAATATAGTAAAAATTAAGATGAAGTATCAGAAAGTTCGTGGTCTGATGCAATAAAATTAACACTATATATGTTGTGCTTACAAAATTTATAAGTAACATTAAACAATAAAATCCTAAGAAAATTATTTTAGTTGAGATGTTGATAAGTTTTATTTTATCGTTTAATACAAAAGATATATGACCACGCAGCGCTGTCGCAGCTGTGTTTTATGACGTTCAACAACGTCATTGTTTCTTTTATTCTGATCCTCAGTATACTTTTTTGGCCGAGATAACCTAGTGTTAAGTACTCACTGAAACCCATCTTGTTTATACGACTTTAAAAATTTCATGAGCAGATGATTATAAAACACAGCATTGTAACTGAATCTGTAAAAAAAGAAAAAAATCCTCATTTGATTTTGGCAGGTTAATCTTTTTGTCGGATTTCAATTTCTATCACCTTCGAGCAACGTTACTTTTTGTCGTGACTTTTGGACATCCGGTCTACGTATCGGCATTAAATGTATCTCTCTTCTGATTCTTTTGTTCCATTTAAAGAAAAGATATGGACTTATTTAGTCTCTCTCCCCCTGTTAAAACCTTTCCAAATTTTATGCGTTTTCCCACTATAATTTCGGCGAAAACACAACTCCTATTCCAGTGGCGTCATTTTTAACCAGTATTTTCAACACTATCTATTAAATTTACATTAAAATATCATAGGTCTTACAAATTGAGATAAAAATTGTAACTTTTACGGAACATTTGTGTCACAGGAGTGAATAAACGGAAAATTGGACAACAAAGGCTCATATGAACAAAATTGTCTCCTTTAGACTCACGGTAGAAATATGTATTTTGAGGTGGCGCCGACAATTTATTCAAAGATAAACCGTTTGTCATATTATTTATTCTGTAGACAGAAAAGTTGATGTTGAAGAAATGATTAAAAAATTATTGATATGAATAAAGCGGTTTTAAATTCATGACACCAGTCCACGAACTTTTTAAATAAACCCTCTTAATGATATAAATCATAAGAATATAATATCACCTATATATTTTGAAATCATATTTCCTGCTTAAATTACATTAAATGCAACTAAACCTGCCAAATAGATGAGATATAAATGTATTGTTTTGATTTCAGGCAACGTTATAGAAAATGTTACAATTCATTTTGATGATTCAAAAGTGTACCCTGTTTGGGAGAGCGTGGAAATAAGACTCACAGCAGACATAAATACAAGCAATGTCGATGATTATGCTGAAGTACAAATTTATAACAGTGGTGGTTCAGATTGCAGTTACACTTATTTAAAGATTTCGGATTTGAAGAATATCAGCACGGCATATGTATGCAATACTCTTTGCAATTCGCAAGGCAACCATACCCTTTCTGCATATGTATATTATAATGGATATAGTTATAGTACTAGTAAGATGATTTATGCTTGGAATAGAATATATGGAATTGCTGTAAAAGACATTGCTGCTGTTCATGAACATGTATATTTTTACTTTCAGTCAGTTCAGTACTTTAATTTTTATTTCATTCTTGATTTTGGGGACAAAAGCAACTACAGGCATACATCAGGGTCATTTCAGAGCAAATTCTCGGACTATTTTACATCACATTCACTTTCACACTCATACACAGCTCCTGGAACTTACAACGTCACTGGTATGTCCTGGAACACAATGTATACCCAAACGTATCATAAAATCATAAGGGTTGAATACCCAATTCCTAGTGGAAGTTTGTCCATTAACCCTTCGACCGAATACATACCGGTACCTGATGGGAAAACTGACCTGACTTTACATTACTCATCAACAAGTCCAAACCCCACAAACGTCAGATGCATTTTCCAATTTGGCGAAGGAGAAGAGACACAATCAGTAAACCTTACAAATGGCATATCAATTTGGAAGGTTTATTTTTATAAGTCGGTGGGACAGAAGAATGTTAATTTCACCTGCACAAATGACCTAACTACTCAAAGCGTTTATGCAACTATTTATGTGGAATCATACAGTCTATCTGAATTTGACTTTGAATATCAAACTCCAGTTCCCATGAGCATGGCATTGAAACGAGTTGAGCCAACTGAGGAGTACCGTCATTATTACCGATCCGTTTCCATCCCTGTGAATGTAACATTTACTATTTCTATGAAGAAATTTAAACGATTTCCACCTGGTATAAATGTCATTTGGAATTTTGGAGATGGGACGCCTGTTGAAACCTTTGTTTTAAAGTCTAAAGCAAAAGCTCACACATTTTCCACCAAGAGAGGAACCTATACTATGACTATTGAAATAGGGTCTCAAACTAATTCCCATGTATTTTATCGCAGTATCACTTTAGGGGTGATCCAATTTAGCTGTTATCCTACAGCGTTTGATCTTAGAGATACAGAGGTTACCTTTGCGGCACATGGGATTCCTGGTAATGCTTCGTACATATTTTATACAGATTCCATCTCAACTTATTACGTAAAATCTTCTCATTATGCCATCAACAATTACATGAACATGTATACATACACAGTAATGTTTCGAGAATATGGATTTTACATTCCATCTGTCTATGGTGGTGGAGAAAGAGTATATATTGATCAAACCTTGATTGCAGATTATAAGTTAGAAGATGGTTTATATCTTGACGTTTATCCAGATCGGATTCCCCTTCCACCCGGAGACATTACAATTAGAGTTCACACCTCGTCCAGTGAACCTAGACCATACATAACATGTAGCATGAAGTCGGGAGACTCAGTTGATCGCCACAGTGTTTTCTACAAAAAACAGAATATAACAAATACACAGCCGATCGTCTTTGAGTATACCTACACAAGTCTTGGAGTGCATACTATTAGTATTTATTGTTCGAATTACATTGCAGGCAAAACTATGACAAAGGAAGTGACAATTACGAATGGCTGTTTTGAATCAAAGGGGATATACGATCGCCAATACTCGGTACCAACGGAAGCAATGAAAGTCTATAAATCTAGCGATTTGTACATTAGAAACAGAATGCTTATTTACTGCGAGAATGAAAACCCCAATTTCCAGTGGTATATATATGGGGCAAACAGCAGTGGAAAAACAAATACATTGTACCCATATGAAAATCCTGTGAGAGACGAAAAGGGTACACTTTTCATTAAAAGAAATGCATTGCCAGAGGGAAAATTTTATCTTATGCTTAATATTTCCCTCAGCAACACCTGGATATCTGAATACAGCTACATTCAGTTCCTCAGTTCTTCCCCTTTTTCATACATCAGTGGTGGTGATTATGTCATAAGATCAGACAATCATCTGTTTGATGCATTGAGTGAATCTCGAACTGCGAATGGAGATTTAGGAGAAAATGAAAACTTGACTTTTTCATGGACCTGTAAAAGGTAAATATTCATTTTAAAAACATTCAAAACTCACTAGTATTAAAGAGAGTTTGTTATTTTAATTTTTATTTTTCTGGCCATATTTTTCATAATTTGCTCTTATTTTTTATGTTTCCATTTTTAAATAAAATTTCAAAACCATATTAGTCATATAATCTTTCAATTACTTTTGGAAAGTTTTGAGAACCTTTCTCCCCTGTTTGCAAAAGTTGGTGATAGTCTTATTCTGTGGTTTATTTTGAATTAAAAGTGAAGTCCATTGATACAATTTATATTCAATCGAAATAAATGTAAAACGTTTGTATAACGACTGAAAACATACACATTTGTGTAATATTCTTTTAAGGAAAAGTATATTGCTCTTGCTTATCACAATGAAGAAACAATTATCATTATTATATAGATCCCCTCGAGTGGATCTAAGAGGACCAAAATTACTACTCAGGAACACATCATCAGGAACTTGTTCTGTAAAAGAGGTGTCGCGTGGTGTTTGTCAGCTAACATCTTCAATATCAGAATTATTTGACTATGCCCTTACGGTTACTGTGAAGGAGGGATCCTTTCAAAAGAGATTCACACAGATTGCAAGAATCAAGGAAGGGGGATCAACTGATCTACAGATTAAGTATTGCTATTAGTTAAACTGTACTAAAATTATTAGGAATATGAAAGATCAAAGAATTATTCCTAAATTTCTTTCATTCCTTTACATGAAAGGCTAATTTTTTTTAATTAAGAGCATTCAAAATATAGTAAAATGATGTTACAGTATACATGTATTTAACTCTTTGTTTAATTGTACAATTAATTCAGCACAATTTTACAGCTGCAGCTTGAACTGTAACGACAAAGTTGCCGTATCATCTAAATTGGCTTTGATAGCTTGGTGCGCCTCCTGTAAACCAGAACATGAGGTTCAATATGTGTGGACACTGTGGAAAGACGAAAGTGGATCGGGGTTGTTCCAGCCGGTACAGAATTTGTCTGTAATCACCAGGAACGGTATATTGATTGAACAATTCCTTCGAAATGTTCCATTAAATCAACTTATTGAAACTCGTACAGTTTTTAGCTCACATGAGCTGAAGGCTCAAGTGAGTTTTTCTGATCAAAGGGTGTCTGGTGTCCGTCTCTCGTGTGTCGTCTTTCGTTCGTCGTCTGTAAACTTTTCACATTTTCGACTTCTTCTCAAGAACCACTGGGGCAGTTTCAACCAAACTTTCCACCATTGTGTGAAGGCGGTTTAAAGTTTTACAAATGAAGGACGAATGCTCTTTCAAGGGGAGATAATTAAGAATTTGTGAAAACTGTATAGCATCTTTTAAATTCTTCTCAGTTACCACTGGCCCAGAAAAGATGAAAATTATCTGAAAGCTTTATTACATATATAGTGAAGATTCAAGTTTGTTCATTTCATGACCCTTGGAGCTTAGGGTGGGGCCACAATAAGCGATTAAAGTAATACATAGGAATACAGAGGAGTAATCTTTAAAAATCTTCTTCTTAAGGAAAAGCCATGATTAGCCATATTCATATGGAGGCATCCTCGAGCTCAGGTAGTGTAGATTCAAATTTGTTCAAATCATGAACCCCAGGGATAGGATGGACCACATTAAGCAGTCAAAAATTTACATAGGAAAACGCTTTAAAATTTCCTCAAGAGCAGCAAAGGTATGATTAGTCATATTTACATGGAGGCATCCTTAGATAGTATAAATTCAAATTTATTGAAATCATGACCCCGGTGGTAGGATGGGGCCACAATGAACGATCAGAGTTTGACATAGGAATATACAGGATGATGCTTGGAAAATATTCTTCTTAAGAACAGCAAAACCATGATTAGTCATATGGAAGCATACCGAGATGGTGCAGATTCAGATTGTTCAAATCATGACCACTGGGGTAGGGTGAAGTCAAAATAGAGGATCAAGCTTTTACATAGGAATGTAAAGGGGACAATCTGTAAAAATCTTTTAAAGTCATGATTAGTCATATACATGTAGACATGGAAGCATCCTCAGTTAGTGTAGATTCAAGATTGTTCAAATCAAGCCCACTCCCAGGTGGGAGGCTAGAGATGAGCGATGTGGCCCATGGGTCTCTTGTTTAATTATATTTTGTTTTACTTTTACAGATATCTTTTATTTATATGATTTTAAAACATAAAAACCCAAAAGCTAAAAAAATTTAAAATTTTTATGATTGAGATCAGTGTTGAAATATTGTTCTCTCTTTAATAAGATACTGGTAAGGAAAGTTTTGTCTTACCAAAGTTCTTTTTAACACCTGGAATTACCTATCTGGTGACTTTATATATGACGGTGGTCAACGAAACAGAGATAAGTGGGGATGTATACAGGAAGTTACTAACTAACGCGCCACCAACTGGTGGCTCCTGTTCTATTCAACAGAAAACAGGTAAAACGTATTTATCATCGGTTCATATTGGGAAATTAGAAATAGATATGTTCGTTAAGGAAAAAAATACCTTTAAAAAAACTTGTGTATTTTAAATTGAAGAAAACCTTATCTTGGTATTCCGTAAATAAAAGGTCGTTTTTTTTAAGTAATTAAAAATTAATTAGTTTACTAGTATTTAACTTAAATTTAATGGCATAACAAAATGATGCAAATAAAATAAGAAAATGTTTATTTATGAATTAAGAGTGATGCAAAGAAAATATATTTTCATTGCATCACTCTTAATTCATAAATAGTATCTTATATTATTTTTTCATGGTAGACTCACTGGTCGTTCTTCTAAGCGTGCAGTGCTCAAATTGGATCGATACAGACGGGGATAAAAACGTGTTCACATACCTTTACGAAACAGTTACAAAAAGAAACTTTACACACGGAGAGGAAAACGTAGTCAATTTTCTCTACCAAGGAAGTATGGAGAATTTTTAGCAACATTTCCTTGTTTTAAAACATGAATGAATCGATCATCTAGTTTATCATAAAATGGAATGAGTTGAGACTTGAAAAACAAAGTAACATATATTAATGTATTAGATAAAATGACCTTTTTAGGGAGCTCAATCACTCTTCTTTATTTCTAAAGTGACTTTTCCTTAAGATAAATTCAAAATATAGTTATTATTTCAGCAATAATGTTGATAACGTAAAATTCTTGATCATTTGAATAGGCTTTCTATTGAAGCTTATATTTTAGTTAAATTGCCTTACCTATTTATACAGATGCGTTTTTGATCTAATGTCACCTTGCTTGTAGGCGAGAGTAGCGTCTTAGATGTTCCCATACAGCCGGGAGATCCTGTTTTTAATCACATAGTGACCGTCCGAGTTCGGATTTTTGACATTTATGAGGATTATGGAATATATTCTTCAAACATAACAGTACTTACTTCATTACGTTCCCTATTTTACCTTGTCTTTTTACATCAAACATATATTAGTCAATCAAACACTGAATACTCTCTTGAATCAGAAACTTGTAAAAGCTAGAACAGCAAAGGTTTATGAATGAATTTCTTAATAAAAGAATTTTTTAGTGCATGAATTTTATGAAGTGTTATGTTTTGCTATGGCAGGTTATACAGCCATCTCAACCAAGAGATGTAGATGATGCTTCAACAATCGAATTGTCATTTCAAAACTTTGATTCAAAGTTCAACAATTACAATTTGTCAGGGAACGACATTAAAACTTTGAGTTTGTTAGGAGCTGTTGGATCCAGTTTCAAGCAATTTCCTTTTGTACGTATTTGTGCTATTGTTATTTTAAGACTTCCTCTAAAAAATTTAAAAAGATATTTCAAGACCTTTTTGGAGGAGTGTTTTCGGAGGTAAAATTTATAAATTCTATGAGACTAATTATATTTCTGAATCATTTTCTTGAAACTTCATTTGTTTTTACAGACTGATACTACAACAACTGAGGAAGAGGTGAGAGGAGGTGTAGAGTCCATCAAAATCGACACGTCTGGAGGGGGAACTGCATTCTTTGTCTATCAACAGGTAGAGTCTGTAAACATAAAATGCATGGAGCTTATTTTGTTTTAATTTTATTGAACAGGAAATTTCATGCTCTCTGATTTTTCCAGACAGTATTTTACGTAGGACTTTTTTATGGATCAACCATGCATAGATTTGTGGATATTTTTTGTCAACCAATACCTCACCATGTTCATGTACTCACGGAAAGTCCTGATGAATTTCAATAATCGGTTTGAATTTATTAATTTTTTTTTTTTAATACAAATTTTAAGTTTACACACATCACTTTGCAATTGCAGAAAATTGTGAAACTTCTTCATTTAGTCAAAAGTGTTGTTACCCCTGGTTGCGCAAATTCCACCGACAGATTTAAATTAGCAGACATGCAACAAATTTTTAGCACCCTGGATGCTCTGACCCGCTACCTACCTTACTTGTCTTTTGAGGCAGTGGTTAGTATAAATCAAATCGAAAATACTATTTGTGGTCTTTAAGAAAATTGTTACTAATAACATCCATAAATTAGCTGAAAATAATAAATACAATGTATTTAAAGTTAGTAACATACACTGTGTAATCATGTGGATTTTATAATTACCTTACCATAGCTAACCTATTTGTATTTTATTTGTGACTTTTTAAATCAATCAGTTTTTTCAATGTTCATTAACATTTATAAATGAATTTATAATGATTGATCTAATTCAAACAGAACATAACGGTAGACATTGTTGACACTATAATTGACTGTTTGGAATATGGCAGCAGGAGAACTCCTCTCTCTGCAGGCACAGTTGAAAGTTTAACAGACATTGCTAATGGTAAGGCTGTACACTGTATTCGGAGTTAGGGCCTACCCCCTCCATATTCTAAAGCCAAAATATTGAAAACGATTTTTACTCGATTAATATCTTTTTTTAAATATATCTAAATATTTGTTTAGTATTTTGATTAATTGATTATTTATATGTTGTTTAACGTCCCATTCAAGAATTTTTCAACCATATAGTGACGCCACCGTATGCCGGTGAAGGGCTTCAAATTTAGACCTATACTCAGCACTCATTGTCATTGAGCAGTGAAGGTTCTTTATCGTGCCAACTCCTACCGTGACATGGGACCTCGGTTTTAAGTTCTCATCCAAAAAACCCATGGCTTTCACCGAACGAGAATCGAACAAGGGCTCCGATCACGAAGCGAGCGCCCTACCACTAGAACAGTGACTTTTTTTTCTTTTTGAACAAGACAGATCTTGAAGTATTAATTTTAATTATTTTTTTCAAATTTGTTTAGGCATAACTGATACTTTCAAACTTAATGAATAATGATATCTAATAAAAGTGTTTCTTGTAGTTTATCATCGGGTATTGGACAATGTCTTAAACAAGATGCTACCTGAAAGATTGCAAAACTTGGATGTGGAACTTTCAGAAGATGATATTAAATCAGAAATTATGTTGAACATCAACTTTTTTCTGCAAGAAACCAGCCTCTTAAATAAAGATCAAGGAAACGTTACTCTAGACCATGACAGTGTAAATAAACAAGCCAATTTGATTTATCGAATACGAGCACATGAGCGACAATCTCAGCTTCAGCAGAGAAATATAGTATGCAATATATATAATTTTTATTTCTTAATTTCTTCACACAAAACATTTATATGTCATCATAACCAATCCGATAGTCAAATAGAACTGTCATGTTCTTTTAGGGGTAATTCAGTTAAAAAGTAGTTTTCACTGATCAAATTCGTTCTTGGGATAATTAACTTCGTCAACAAAAATCTATATCTATTTCAACATCTTTTTGATTGATTGCTGAATATTAAATTAAAAAGTACTATGTTCATTTGCTTTCTATTTCTAATTCTACATCTCTGTTTGATTACTGAAGTATTGATTTAAAAGATATAATTATTTGCCTTTTATCTATATTGATTTTTTTTTTTCATTTTATAAAAATATCCACATATTTATCATGATTGTTTCAGGCAAGGAAATATATCCCTATGATTAAAAAAATCCAGTCTGTCTTTCTAAATGTAATGCAAAAAACTATTGTTTTGGACGAGCGACTGCACTTCAGTGGTATCCATGTTCTAGAAATAGTGATGAGAAAGATAGCCATCAACAATCTTGAAAATGCCTCGGATGAGTTTTTTGCAGATGTTCATGAAGTGAATGGATCAGCCAACCATGTCCCCTACCTTGAATTATCGGTATTTTCTGTAATCTTAACAATTTTCAATTTAACAAATGTGAATCGAAGATTTTTTTTGATAAAAATTTGACATGAATATGACATATTTTCATAAAAAATGGAAATGGAATAAAAAAAGGAAAAACTACTAGTATGTAAACAAAGATTCTTTATACCATTTTGAATGATGATTTTAGTAGTATTTATATTTAGGTAACTAACTTCTTAAGGAATCCGTACATCTATGGAGAAAACGCATCCAAGGCAATCTCTTCAGTTCCAGTTATGGGTATACCCCAAAATATATCTGTGGACTCCAATATTCAGAATAAAGGAAAAATGGAATTTAAGAGATATATTCCTCTCATCAATCCACAATATCCAGAACCAATGATTTATTTTTCTTTTGACATACGAAATGGAGGAGATGCAGGACTTATTTACGTAAAACCTGATGATTTTGACTTTCTAAGCCATCAGAAGGTGCCATTATATTCGTTTTATTTTAGTACAGCTACTTTTCCAACATCCAGTGTGTTTGATTACAAGAAGGTCCTGAGTGTCAGAGATTGGACAAAATATGGATTTAAAGTGTTCTTTCCTGGAGGTATATGTGGAAAAGGACTTTGTTATTTAGGCATTAAACCTCTCACAGGTAAACATTTGTGAATAAAACGGTCCTAGAGAAGGGTAAATTTCGGTATTGGGGGGGGGGGCGTGGTCCCATATTCTAAATATGACACATATCATTGGCAAGTTGCTGCTTACAGCAAACTGAGAAATTCATATAAAAATTTCAACTTGGAGGTTTCTTCAATGTCGTCAGAAGGATAAGTTTGAAATAACGAATAGAAAGGGTTTGAAATATGGAGATTGAGTTTGAGGTATTGTTATCAATGATAAAAAAAAAAGGAAAAAAAAAGACAAAGACAAACTATTTATAGGTATGGATATGTAGCTATGATACTTCTAAAAATATACATATATTTACAAAAAATGAACTGTTTGATTAATTTAAATACATAAATACACAATGATTTTTTTAGCACCCGACCCCGATGATTTCTCGGGATCAAGAAAAAGACGAGCAGCAGAACCTTTAACAACTGTCGGTCCACCAGAGAACACAACCTTAATTGTTAACGCTTCGGATTTTGTTCCAATTGAGGCAAACTTTAGCATGATATTTACAACTACAGGATGTAGAACCTGGGAAAATGAAAACAACTCGTGGACAATGGAAGGGTGTCAGGTTACATTTAGATATTGTTTTCCGTGTACAAGGATTTATTTGAATTTGATTTAGTCGTAAATTCGTAAGATCTTTTTTTATCTAATTTTGTTTTGCCCCGTAGCTGTTTACTTTTCAAATGCAAATATATCTATTCCCAGGAGCTGTTTAGTCAATTTCAGAAACACTTGGCAAAACTTATAATTTATTGCAGATCTTCATTTTGGTATAAGTAGTACATTTAATAATGTCCATTCCGGAAAATAATTATTGGCATAATTTCTATAATTAAGCCTAATACAATAATTGTGTGGCGATGTTTTTGGAATATTGCTACATGAATAAAGAAAATTGAAAAGAAAGCTGAAGTCATCCCGTATGTCATACAGTTTAGTTATTAGTTAGCCATTATCGTCTGTAGTAAATCATCCAAATGAAACAGATGTAGCAAATTCTGTAGTGTCCCTTACTTCGAGTTCATGGGATAGATCGAGTCGACATATGAATGAAAGTATTTTAATTGATAAAACGTCGACGATATATTTAAACGTTGAGTTGAAGGCCACAACAAAAGTTTTCTTCTTACGAAGAAGTTTTCGAATAAGTTCATCTTCATAAGAATTAAAAAACAGGTCGGCTAATAAAAGAGCACAATTAGTGCCCATCGAAATTCTAACAAATTGTTGCAAGACCTGATATCCAAAGACTACGATAACATTGTCAATGAGGAACTCCGGCATCCTTTTAATATCACCTTCAGAGTATGTAGAATAAAAATGATTTTTAACAATGTAAAAAATGAAGGTAACGAACAGTGATTAATCTCATAAATCCAGTAAACATAAAGAAAAAAAAGGCAGAAAGCCTGGAAACACCAGATGTGGGTCAGGTGCCTAGTAGGAGTAAGCATCCCCTGTCGACTGGTCACATTCGCCGTGAACCCTATGTATTGATCAGGTAAACGGAGCACTCCATGGTCAAATTTAGTGTAAAAGCAATGACCTAACAAAAGCATGAAACATATCAGACAAATTAGGACCCACGGTAGTTGTATTTACAAACAAGATCATTATAACGACCTTAGACATTTCGAAAACTGACTTTTAACTGGGTTGTTGAAATCCTTGTAAAATCAACTTATTTGAACTTAAGTGTCAAATCAGTTGCGAGACATAAAACACCATTTGAAGTAATTTTGTAGATGATCAGTCACAAGAAATGGAAATTTACGAGTCCCATCGTTATTATTAAGAAGGTAGTTGTCTATGATGCAAAGAATACTATTTATTAAGAACGAGACTACATGTTAAACTAAATTTTAAAAAAGGTATTTCATTTAATTAAAAAGAGGGTGTTCATCAAAAGCTATTAAATATGCAAGTAATATGATATTGATGCAAATTGTATTAGATTTATTCTAATGAAGTCTAGATGTTATATTCAGGATTAGTTGTAAGGAAATGCATGAATCGCAGGTATGCTTTCTGGGTGATATGTTTTTTAAAAATATTTTTCAGGTGCTGCCGATGAGTGATTTAAACAATACGGTCTGTCGGTGTGTTGGAGATACCTTCTCAACCTCATTCTATGTACCACCTAACGTGATCAATTTTCTGACAGTTTGGGGTAAATTCGACGCCTCCAACGCTGCAGTGTATGGTACCCTGGCTGTTGTGTTCGTTATTTATATAATATTGGTGATTGTGCTTCGAAGACAGGACAAAAAGGATCTAAAAAAGGTAAAAATAAAAGTCTTATACATCATTGCTTCAATTTTGCAATAACTTAAACTTCATACAAGGGATTATAGAAAAATATGTCGATTATGGAAAATAAAAATCTAGAGTCGCCAGTAAGTAAAAATTAAATGGGTACATTTCAAATCATTTTGCAGTGGGAGGTAACCTTTCTCTGTGACCACAACACAACACATACCTACTTTTATTTGATAAGTGTGATCACTGGATTCCGGAAAGGAGCGGGAACCAAATCTAACGTATATTTTATACTTAGTGGTGATGAGAATGATTCAGGAATTCGTGCCCTACATGACGGGATTAAAGAGGTGTTTTTTTTTTATTTTACACATTTGTTTCCTTCAACTTATAATGTGATTATTTAGCATACAGTACAGTTTAATCTTCTATTACAATGATTATTTTTAAATAGAATATAATGTACTAATCATGCAGAATTGGAAAATGAAAAATTAAGTAAAATTTCAACCAAACATACCGAAGACACAGAAAGTGGTAGCGACCGAGCTTGCAAGGTCGCTAACATTTTCAATGTCTGAGGTCAATATTACGGGACATGGGTCCTTATAACCACATATTGACCATTCAATGAAGTCCGTAAAAGTTATATAATTACTTAAAGTTAATAATCCGACGCATACCTAACTGAACAGACTTGGCTGTCATTACGTCACAATGGTAAAAACATCCTTCTTATCTAATGAAGTCACGTTTAGCGTAACTTTTTTGCAGCCGTTTTAGCTTTATACAGTACAGAAAGGGTACACAGTACACGGTAACGGTTATACAGTATAGTATATTCCGAGGGCGCACTTTCGTGTCAATATCACAAAAGGACGAATATCATGTGACGTCCTTAGCCAATGAAAATTACGAAATCTTTTTATATTTTTTTTTTTCATACAGAACTGTGTTTGGCATATATCCATTACATTAACCAGAGTACATGCCCATTATTCTTCTTTGATTTTTATTAATTATCAAAATTAGTAACCACACAAGTTTTACAATTATTGATAATATTAATAATATTAATAGCGACATTGTTTTTTAAATGAACATTTGCGTCCTTTATACGAAATATGAATGATGTTGTTAAAACTTTTTGCTAGGGATTTTCAACATCAAGTGTCAACATGTTTTTCTTTGGAACCAATGAACCCCTAGGAGATTTAAAATATATTCGTGTATGGCATGACAATTCCGGACCACCTGGCTTCAAAAGTTGGTTTTTAAGCAAGATCATTGTTGATGACTTAGAACAGAAAGAAAGGTAACTGCGTCCATAGTTTTATTTGATTTTTAAAAATAAGCAACTATCTTACAATGTAAATCTTCTTCGTATGTTTATAAATTAAATACGGAGTATATGGGGTAAACTAATAAATTTTCACGTGTGATGATATTTCCACTTATTGAGAGTGGTGTTTTTTTTTATAATATAGTTATCTGTTTCTTTGAATGTATGAGTATGTCAGACAGAGATTGCCAAAGCTGTATATATTCACTCTAAAGAAACCCTTGTCCTCGACACTAGATCTAATTCAATGAATGATAACAACAAATATTTAATGTCTTCTATTTTGATTTCAGATATACGTTTCATTGCAACAAGTGGTTAGGTATTGATGATGAAGATTGTACGCTGGATCGAATAATCCCAGTATCAACGCCAAACACAGTTTCTTTTAACGATCGTCTTTCTGTCGAAGCTCAAACCCAAATGCCCGAATATCATTTATGGCTTTCTCTGCTCTTTCGTCCACAGCCAGGCAAATTTACACGTGTTCAAAGGCTTTCATGCTTACTGGCACTACTCTGTCTTACTATGATATCAAATGCCATGTTCTTTCAATCGTCTGATGAAAATCAAAATGTTAAGGAAGTGAATTTAGGAATATTTAGACTATCATTTGGAACATTCTATGTATCATGCATTGGAATGATAATCTCAACTCCACCTGTTACTTTTGCAGCCTTTGTATTTAGAAACATTAGAAACCCTAAATCATCCGAATACAGGATCCCAAATTCAAAAGGGAACAGTTGTTATCAATCCCGCAATGAAACATACCAATCCTTTTCTAAAATTGATGGTGGAGTATTCACTCCAAACCAAGGCACATTGCCACGTTGGGTGTTTTATATAGCATGGGTCAGTGTTGCTTTGGCTATTCTTTCATCAAGCTTTTTTCTCATTCTATACAGCATGGAGTGGGGTAAAGCTAAGTCAGAAGAATGGATTTCATCACTTGCCTTTTCATTTTTGGAATCGTTCATAATTTTTGATCCAATGAAAGTGATATTTTTCGCCATTATTTGTTCGACCCTTTTGAAAAGTTTGATAATGGAAAAGCCTCCTGAAGTGAATCTAGAGAAATTGCGATCGATATCAAAGAATAATTTATGGCAAGAAACAAGAATTTCAGGTAAGTTTATGTGTATACAGTATATATACTGTATGTAGATTCTGACTGTAAGATTTAAACTTCGAAATTTTTCTAGGACTGAAGTCTATGATATGTCGTATATATTGTAAATCAGATTCATAATTGCATGACATCTTTCAGAAAAACTAAATTTATTTTACCTCACAGTTATTTGCATTGCCGGTACCAAAAAATAATTAATGCGTGATACAAAAGCGTAAAATGATGCCTTAATTGACATTTGACAGATATAATACTAGTAATAAAGGTACATTTTTATCATTATCTTGTCCGTGCCGTATTTATCCTTTTCCTATGACTGTTCTTAACATATCTGAAAAAAAAATAATTCAACGTTCAAACTCTTTTCCATGTTTGGTAATTCTTATTACGTTTGTTATTTCAGACTTAGCAAACAAAGTTTTACCAAAATGTGATACATTTTCAAAGGAGGAGCTCGAAGAATTGAGAAAAAAATTTCGCGAAGAATCTCAAGCGAGGTCAGCACTTACCAGCCTTGTCATGTTCATGTTATACGTTCTTGCAATCTATGGAATCAGTTTCACACAGCGCGATCAGCGATCTTTAAACGTGAAGCAAAACCTTGATAATTATTTACTTTCAGGAAGTCGTGGCTTCTCTGCAGTAAGTTCTATTAACATATTTATAATCGTGATTTCTCTTTTTTTCTACCGCATTGTTTTCATTCAATTTTAAATAAAGTTATGTCACTCGTCAGCTTTTAAGAAAAGTTCAGTCAGAACTTCTAACTTCAAAACTATTTATTTCAATTCAATTTTTATAACATATTTGAATTAATCAAAGCAAATTATACAACATTGACAAATTAAAAACTGCTCACAAAGTCATAAAGAAACAAGATTTATAAGGGACTATTTCTTGCGGTTGAAGCAAGGATATTAAAAGAAAATTCTTTAAATCTACACATTTGTTAAATTTAATGTCTTGGAACTTTAACCCCATATATTTTTACTCAGAAAATATTTTCCGTTTTTATATGCTATGAATATTAATTATAGGTTTCAATTTATATTCTTAGAACAAATTTTACACATTCACTCAACAGACTTTGTCAAGAAATGAAGATTTATTAAAGGAGTCAAAATAAAATTTACAGTTCTTTGCCTGAAAATCGCACATTTTGACCCTCAAAATTTACATCACTGACCCCAACTTTTTCTTTCTTTATTTTAAAATACACGATACTTCCAACCGACCAGCACTTAAGTCATTAAAAATTTTGATACAAGAAAATATGTTACAACCTGTTTAGATTTTTAATCCCCCAAATATGATACTATTTTAGTGCAAAAAGGTTTCATGATATATTTGCGCATTAATATAACTATTTTACATAAAATAAGATTATATTTATTGCCATGATTACATCTGATAAAATATGATAAAGATAAAACTGATTTACCTAAGAGGTACAATTTAAGTGCAGAGGGGTCAAGTTCATTGTACCGTTTCTCGGTAAGATACACATTGACCCCAATTTTCTTTTCAATTTTGAGTCATGCTATATGAGTACTTATCAAAAGTATACTTTTCAAAAAAATCCTTCCTATAACTTATTTCACGAGTGACATACCTTAAATAATCTACCATAATTCATAGTTTTGTAGTAAATCTTTAATATTGTACATTGTCGTTATTGTATTCTTTGAAAAATTTTACTATCCATTTCTAGTTGAAAGGCAGAAAGGATTTCATAAGCTGGATGAATGACACCTTTATTCCAACTTATTACCCCAATGAGAGTTATGCAGGTAAACCTTTGACGGTTGTGGATCGTCAGTGGTTCAAAGATATGGACAGTATCCGTGTTGGACCAGCACGTCTCCGACAGGTTCGCATGAAAACAGGTAAAAAGTATTTCATGTTTATTTCTAAAGCTAGCTTCACTACACCCCCTCCCCCTCTAAAAGGGTATGTAGAACAGTGAAATGTCACTATTAGGGGATAGACAGTACTTAAAATATACCAGAATACTAATTATATCATGTTTTATTGTTATGAAGACCTTCAGATTTCACCTTTCTTCTATTATTATTTTATCCGTACGTGTGATTGTAGGCAAATGTCCCTATTCCTCCCTACCTTGGTCTTATCCATGTGTTGACGCTTACTCTGAAAAAGATGAGGACCAAAATTTCTATTGTCTACGATGGAAACCATACAATAACACCATCTGTGGAAGCGAAATTTACAAAAGTAGGTTCTACACTGCTGAGGCCTGGAAGTACACGGACGCCAGTGAAATTTGGGGAGTGTCCAGGATGGGAGAGTATAAAACATATAGTGGAGGGGGGTATATTCTAAAATTTGTGAAAGACAGAGTAAATGCTCACTTATTACTCAGGGAACTTATCGAAAATAATTGGATTGATAGAAAGACACGTGCAATATTTGTTGAGTTTACGATATACAATTCAAATGTCAATCTCTTTGCATATGCCATGTATTTAGTGGAGTTTTCTGAAGTAGGCAGTGCATTTACATGGACTGACACGCAAGCCTTTAAACCTGTATTAAATTTATCATCTCTCGGCTTCACTCTAGTCTTGTGCTACCTGATTTTTCTCTTCTATTACATTTTCTTGCTCTTCAAAATACTTTTGCAATGTAGGAAAGTAGGGTGTTTGCGTTTTGTCCAGGAACCATGGAATATTGTGGACTGTCTGTGTACATTCCTCGCTTATTCTTGTTTGGTAGCGTTTATATTGAGGATGAAATACACGAATACGGCAATGGATATGTTTTATAACGACAAATTAACAGGTGCCAATCGGTTCATAAACTATGGACACATTGTGATTTGGGATAATGCATTCAACGTCCTTTTTGCAACGCTTCTGTTTGTATCCACAATACAGATTTTGAAAATCCTGGGATACAACAAACGATTCACTGAGGTTATATCAGTGATATCAAATGTTGGAAGGGATTTATTGGCTTTTGGGGCACTCTTGCTGATTTTATTTGCTTCATTTGTTGCTTATGCCTATCTTCTCTTTGGCTCAAAATTAGAAAGCTACAAGTCTATATATCGTACATGTGGAAGTTTAGCCAACACCTTCATTGGTAAAAATAAGCTTGACCCCCTGATTGTTGCAGCGCCTTTATCAGCTCAATTCTTTTACACATCTTACGTTTTATGTGTCATTATGTTCATGTTGACTATCTTCATGGCAATCCTGAACAGCAGTATTTCAGCAGTGAGGGCGGAAAATCTAGCATCAGCTGCAAAAATTGGAATGTTAGACATCGTGAAAAAAATTGTCGGAAACATTCTTGAAGTTTTCCTTAAACCAAAAAAGAGCAGTAGAGTTAATCGTAAGTTAAATCCTTTTTAAGTCAATAAGTAAACAATATTTCAGCATAAAAATTGTTTGAGAACACTTTCAAAATATCCATGATTATTTTTTGCACTTGATTGTTGCATAAATCACACAGAATCCATAAGTTATCAGATTTTTATGCACATCTGTGTACTTTATGCTACAACAAAAAGAAAAAAAAACGGTGCATGTCATTTTGTTTATTTATTTTATAAGGGAAACAAGAACAGCGGACCAGTGAAGAAATCAATGCTGCAAATGTGGTGGGACTTATCCGTGACATTGTGTATGTATATGGTAATACAGGTACTAAGGTATGTGTTATGTTCCTTACACTAATTTAAAAGATTTTACTCGTTTTCCGTTATGATATGCAATAACTAGAGTATCACATATTTAAAAAGTAATGATAGGACAATTTTCTTTACATTGTGCAGCTTGTGAACAGAAAATATTTTGAAGAAGACGATCAGCGCTCACTGCTGTCACCTACCAGCCGATCCACTTCTTTCAAAATGAATAGATATAAGAAGAACGAATATAATCAAAAGTATACTATCGAACACCTAGAAATTGAAGAAAAGGGTGACACAAAAGAGACTTACCGTCAAATGTCCCGATTATCATACGTATCTGCATCAAATGTGGACATGTACATACCGTTAAACGATACAGACGAAATTGACACTCGTAGAGAGAGATACCAGTTTACGATATTTTGAGTGTGCGTGGTCGTCCAACGAAACAAAAAATTATTATGCGTGCACTGAAGTTTTTGATTTTTTTAAATATCGGTATTACCTTAAATATTTGTCCTACGAAATATACAAATATGTGCACTGAAAGATTGCTATCGGATATCGAACGTTACATAATAATATATTATTGTATTTAAAATGAAACAAGTTTATATTAAGATAATTTTAAGCTAAGGTCTTTTTTATACCCTCCGTTTTAAAAGCGAGGGTATAAAGTGGTGAGGTGTCCGTCCGTCCGTCTCTAACGCTTGGGGGTACCCATTTCTTATTGGAAACTCTTCCTATACCACTGAATTTACAATATACTGAGACTTTCATAGATTCTTAATTACATAGTGCCATTGTGCACCTCCTATTTTAATTTACATTTTGATGAGATACATATTTGGGGTTTCTCATAGCAAAAACATGGACACTGTCATTCTTTCTATGATATTTGGGGTACCCATCTCTTATCTGCAACTCTTTTATCACTGAGGGTGTCCGTCTGTCCATCCATCTGTTACGCCTCTTATTCGCAACTCCTATATTACTGAATAAATTTTAATGAAACTTTCACAGAATATATATTACATATTGTGCACCTCCTATTTTACATTTTGATGAGACTATTATACTTTGGATTTCTGTTATGGACAATACAAATCTTTCTCATATATTGGGGGTAATCATTTCTTATTGGCAACTCCTCCTATATCACTGAACAAATTTTCATGAGGCTTTCACAGAATCTTTATTACATAATGCCATTGTGCACCTTCTATTTTATGAGACATATATTTAGAGTTTTCCATAGCAAAACATATGGACACCACCATTCTTTCTATAATATTTGGGGTAACCAACTCTTATCCGTAACTCCTACTATACCACTGAATAGACTTTAATTAGACTTTCGCAGATTTTTTTTCTACATAGTGCTTTTGTGCATATCCTATTTATCGTTTTGATCAGACACATATTTGGGCTTTCCCATAGCGAAAAATGAATTTTGTCATTATACTCATATAGGAGCGGGGGTATCATTTTGCGAGTTTATTGCTCGCAGTACCTCCGGTTTTCTGAGTTGTTTACATTAAGAATAATTTTTTAAGAAGCATATTTTATTCTTTAGGAATAAAACTTTACAATGAACAGAGCAGGCTTTTCGACAGATACAAAATTTAATGAAACAATTTTTAACATGAAAACACATGACTATCGGCTAAATTTGTTTTCAGTTGTTGAAAAGCATGTTCATTTATTTTTCCGCTTTGTGGGAACTACTTAGCAAAATAAAATATTTTACAGCCCAAATTTAATAAGCAAAGATATTCATAGACTTTTCTAATTTGAAATGCTTTAATATTTAATTAGACAAGACAAAGGAGACAAATTTCTGTTGAAATGCATTTTTGTATATATATTTTATGATTAGACGTGCTCTTAACTTTATCCGAATTATATGCACTCTTCCGGAGCCATTTAAAGTTAATTTGAAAATTTAAGTTTTCATTATTTTTATGATTGAGTAAGAAAAAATGGAACACCACTTTTCTTCTTCTACTGAACTCTTTTTTTTAGGTTTGATTTTGATTTCAATGTTATGTATATCTTTTATTTACTGGCGCTTTAAAAATATTACAATGGATCTATTGATTACATTTTTCCGTATTTTATGAAGTGTTGATTTTTTCAGTAATGTTAATAATTCATTTTCTGATGTGTATTTTACAATTGGTTTCATATTGATTTCGTTATAAAGTTTTCACTAATAAAAAATTGATTACTTGCTTTTTCTTGGCTTTCACTTTACCTTTCAGTGGTAATCTGAGTCTCGTTGACTCTTTGTTTCCTTGTTGCACGATTTCCCAAAATTGACAAGAGAATGCATAATTTAAAGGAATTATAGAATAAAAATATTGTTGACCAGTCTTTATTTAAATTAAAGGTTCAGTTTGTTTTGTATACATATGTAACTTTGAAGTCTCTCAAAATGAAAGACAATAAAACAATGCTCCTAAAGGAGTTTTTCATGAAATCTTAGAACAATTAACAATTTAATACAAAGTGAAGATTCAGGTTTGTTCAATCATGCCCCTCCCCCCCCCCCCCCCCCCCCCCGTGGGACGTGTGTGAGACCACAAAAGGGGTTTAAGTTCTAAATAAGAATATTTTGACAATTTTTAAAACTTCTTAAGAACATAAGATTCACATATTTTAGCATCCCCATGTAACTCAGATATTAGCCCCAGGGACTGGGGTTAAAAATCTTTAACAACAGGATTTCTTCCAATTCATTTGCCTTTTCTTGATAATCTATGCTTGGAAGTGAGCATAGAACATTCATCATCTAATGATGCTTAGTGACAAGAAATTGGCCCCCTAGTACTGGAGAAGAAATCAAAAACGTGAAAAGTTTGCATAAGAACAAGCAAATGGGTGAAATTAAAAAAAAATTAACAGACATATATTTATCAACTTAAAAATAAAAGCAATGTGAATGAATTTCTACGTCTAAGCATATGTTTTTTGATATTGTCTAAATACCTGCCAAACATCTCATTGATATCTTAAGTCACAAAAAAAGTTATGCCCAAAAATGATGCTAAAAATGTCAGGAGTGCAAAACATTTTTATGACATTTTGAAAATTCATTTTTTTTTTTGGTGAAGATCTGTGAAATAAATAAAAAATAGTTAATGTTGGAAATAAAGAATTACTTGATTATCCTCAAAGTATTGAGCTTTAAATGTAAACTGTAGCAACTTTTATTTGACCAAGTTGTGGTAATGGCTGATGCTGAAAAAATGTTATACCATGTCAGGAGTGCAACATAAAAAAATGTAGTGTTGCCAAAAAAAAAACAAAAAACAACAACAACAACAACAAACATTGATTTTAAAAATCTCTATGAAAATTAAGACAAAAAAGAATTTTCAAAGTGTACAACAATAACTGATATACCAATTAAAACTTTAAAATGTTATACAAATCACAAGCAGCATTATAAGAGTCAAGTATCTGTGCATACCCAATTATGTCAGGAGTGCAATATTTGATGTTTATGTTCAAGAAATTCCCAGCATGGAAAAACTTTTATCAATATATGATTCTCTGATTTCTATTTTGGAAAATAAGACTCAAAGAACATTTTTACCAAAGAGATCTATCAATGACAGAGTCTGTGTATTTTAGATCTATATTTCAATGGTCAGGAGTGCAGCACATTTTTTTTTCAAGATCCAAGTTATATGATGAAAAGATTTCTATTCATACTAATGAATATTTTTAATCAATAATGACCTATTTACATCATTTAGTAATAAATTATTGATAGTTTTATTATGAAAAAATGTCTTTTTTATTAATTTTGTCAACCCAGACGTGTTTTTATCTTTTCTTTGAATTTTTTACGAATATAAAAAAGACACACTGAAAAGTTCATATAAAATTCAAGTAATTCCATTTCAACTTCACTGAAGCAACAGAACACGTTCTGATGTAATTTGTAACTCGCATGCTCTTGGTCAGGAGTGCAACAAAAATGTTCGAATTGTTGCTGAGCAGATAAGACAGATATGAATAAATATAAAGAAAAATCGACGAGTAGAATTTTTCTGGTTGATCTCAATTGCTTACAGTGTTTGGCTCCATGAAGAAAAATACATTTATACTTTAAAATATTTTAAACTAGTTTTTTGGCATAAAAAGAGAATAATTCAAGATATAAAGTCAAGTTTAAATACTTTTATGTGTTTTAACCATGAATTAAGTATTGGACTATAATTATTGCCCAATTTACCAAGTTACCACTTGATGTTGCCAGCTCTTTAAGATTTTTTTATGTTCTATATATTTAATTTTACTGCAATCAGGAGTGCAACAAAATTATTTTATGATTATCAATGAACTTCATCTATTTTTACTAAAAAATAAATTGCCATCTTCTCTCATTCAAAAGTTAATTTAAAAAAAAAAATTGAAAAAGACTGTAGATTAAACTTTAAGGTCAAGGTCACGAGGACAAAAATCACAGTACACAGAGAAACGTCTTGAAACAGGTAATGCACATGTCAAATATAAATGTCCTATCTTCTCTCCTTCGAAAGTTAGCAACAATGATAAAATTTTTGAACATTAGGTCACACTTCTCCAAGATCAAAGTCATGTCCACCTATAATAGCATATGAAAACTTCTTCAAACAAGTAATGTACTCGTCATGCAATTATTAACGCCTTACTTTTTCATTCAAAAGTTATCATAAATGTTTAACTATTTGAAAATATGTCAAACTTTAAGGTCAAAGTCACGGGAGTCAGAAATCATAGAATGGTCTAAAAAATGTCATAGGTAATGCATATCTCAAATGAATGCCCTATCAACTCTCCTTCAAAATTGATAACCAATATTAAAATTTTTGAAAAGTAGGTCAAATTTCAAGGTCATGGGGTCAGAAATCATAGTATATTTGGAAAGTCTTGTCAATGTAATGTACATGTGAAATATAAAAGCCTGGTCTCTTTCGGCGATTCTTTCTTTCTCTTCTCATTCAAAATTTAATTGATTGGTTGATTGAATGTTGTTTTATGTCCCGTTGGAGAATTTTCACTCCTATAATAGAGACATCACCATATACTGGCGAAGAGCTTCAAATTTAGATTTTTACTCAGCACTCAGGACTATTGAGCAGTGAGGGTTCTTTATCGTGCCAAAACCTATCGTGAAACGGCGCCTTGGTTTTTTTTTTAGGTCTCATCCGAAAGACCCATAACTTTCACTTCAAAGTGCTGAGCGCTCGGTGAAGGAACAGTTGCTACCTATTTTTTATCGACTTAGGTCAGTCTCGGCCATGATTCGAACCACCGACCTTCTGATCACGGAGCAAGCGCTCTACCGACGGAGCTATCGTAACGGTCATTCGAAAGTTAACACCACGGTTAAAGTAATGTTATTTTTGAAAAGTTCGTCAAACTTCAAGTTCAAGGGGTCAAAATCATAGTGTATTTGGAAAGGTCTTGTCACAGGTAATGTATATGTGAAATATGAAAACCTATCTTTTCTTCAAGGTCAAAGGGTCAAAATCATAGTGTATTTGGAAAGGTCTTGTCAGAGGTAATGTATATTTGAAATATGAAAGCCTACCTTTTTTCATTCAAAAGTTATGACAAAGTTAAAGTTTTTGCGACAGACAGACAGATGAATGAAATTTAATGTCCCCTCACTTTCGTGAAAGCCGGAGAAAAAACACCATTTAATAATAGTTACAGGAGAGATATTATCACAAAGTATTTTTTATGCTATCCAATAGGCCAATACAAGTATTGGCATTGCTGAGCAAACATTTCCATAATACAGAATGAATTACTAGGTATAACTAAAAATTAACAGATATACCAATTTTATTGAATAAACTGGAGAGGATTCAACAATCATATTGCACTGCCTTGGACAGAATGCTCGATATAATATTACAATGATCTATAAAGAATACAGCCGATGATTAAAATAACAATGAAAATCTCCACTGAATTTTTTTCTGGGCACTGCTTTCTGTGCAATCAGTAATTAGACAAAGTCAAATCTTGTTATCTCGAATTAGATGGGACCGAGAAAAAACTCAAGATATCCGAGAATTCGAGATATCAATGGTAAAATACTTAAAAGAGGATGTGGTTGGGACTTCCAAATCACTTTGATATATTCATGGTATTCGAGATATCGGTGTTCAAGATACCAAAGTTCAACTGGTCTAATTTCAGTTTATATATATATATATATATATATATATATATATATATATATATATATATATATATATATATATATATATGTATTTCTATATATATATATATATATATATATATATATATATATATATATATATATATATATATATATATATATAAATGTTTTGTTCAAACACATGTAAAGTCTATGACCATCATATATAGAAACATGTATTTTTAAAATACATAATACACATATCCAACACAATCTATTAAATTAATATCACTTATTCATGCATGTAATTCCCCATTATTCAACTATAAAATTTGACAATGTTCCTTAATTGTGCAGATAACACATCCATTCAACAGTTATTTTGTTGAGTTATCTTTCTGAATCACTTTCAAAAGACAACATATGACAAACAACATTCAACCAAGCACTGACAAAACCAGGTAATTTAAAAGATGTTTACATACACTGTATTTTGAAGACAAAAATAAAAAATAACTAATCTTGCTATAATTATACATATTAGAACACACTTTGACAATAAACATTTTGTAGAAGTAAACGAGATCCAATTACAACTTAGTATAATAATCAATAAATAACAGAAAATTACATGCTAATGAAATCAATTAAAGATCTTTTAAAAGTAACCATATACAGCTGTATATCTCTTACCAGTTTTTATGTCTTACAGTGAGAATGTTTAAAATTTACATGTTGTAAATAAGCAAGAAAAATGCTTTCAAATATTAAATGCATAATTTGAACAATAAACATACGCTCATATACAAAATTTTATGTACATGTAGGAGAATTTTTTTTTTTAGTTTGCTGTTCACTGTTTTAGCTGCAACACACACTCAAAAACAGAGAAAAAGATCAACTACCTAATTCCATTTTAAACCATTTAATGTTTAATAAATTTGTACCACAATTTTTAACTTTTATTTACATCTAATATACAGGTCATAATAAACAAAACTTTCAGTTTTAACATAGTAAGCTTAAACAAATGCATCAACTAATCTCAGAATATGAACTGTACAAACAACATGGCACATATTACATCAATCATGAATCAAGATCAACTTCCACCGGTACAACTCCTACACCAACCCCTCCCTCATGTGCGCACATACTTTGCACAAACTTCCAGGTGTCCTTTTCTGGGTCATACATTTCTACGGAATTCAGATTGGCCAGTCCATCATACCCCCCAATGGCATAAAGTTTTCCGTAAGTGGCCACCAAGGCTACCCGGCTCCTCCTAACCCTCATGGAGGTGATGTAGGTCCAACAGTCTTTGACTGGGTCATAGCACTCAACTGTATTTAGGAATACCGAACCATCATACCCACCTGCTGCATACAACTTCCCGTTAAGGGAGACAACTCCTAATCGACAGCGTTTTGTTAACATTGGTGTGACATAACTCCAGGTGTTTGTGGCTGTATTATATTTTTCTACCTGTGAAAACAAGCAAAAATATAATATTAAAATTCACAGTACATTTAACCATACATCAAACTGAACATATGAACATTTTGACAAGAATTCTTATACTTGTAAATGTTAAACATTGTATTCAAATTATGTATAATACATGTATATGCATCAGCACAGATTTTATGCTTGAAAAAGCAATTAATTGTAAACAAAATTATGTATTACATGCACATTAATTATTTTTATCACATTTGGACTACCAAGGGTATTTGACTTTTTATTTCTAAGAATAAAAAGAGTGTACATGCATTGAAATTGGATGTTGGCAACATCCCAAACTTAAAAGATAAAACACATACTTACCGAATCAAATATAGAGAGACCATCATGCCCTCCACAAGCATATATCTCTCCGTCTAGGAATGCCACCCCAGCAGCACTCCTGTGCTTCAACATATTGGACAGAAGGGTCCATCTACCAAGAGTAAATTTATAAATACATGTAACAACAAATTCCTTACATCAGGTGAAATACAAGAAGAAGAAGGAATACTTAATACAATAAATTCAAGAAACTCCTCTTATAGGTATTTATAACAGTACAATTTTCTAATTATATTTGGGAGGGTTTTCTCGATAACTTTACTCACAAATCTTTCTCTGGATCATAAACTTCCACTGTCTTCAGAGAGGAGACACCATCATATCCCCCGCACACATACAGCTTCCTGTTCAAAGCTACTGCTCCTAAGGCACTGTTAAAACAATTATCAAACCGACTGTTTTTCACAAGAATATGTAGATATAAGAATATAAAGCATTCAATTGTTTATTAACTGAAAATGAATTTTGCAAGAAACAGACTCAAAAAAACAAGAGGCCCATGGGCCACATCGCTCACCTGAGTAACTTTGGCCATGCTGTTCATTACCAGACTCCCCCCTTGTAATACCTATTGTGGCCCCGCCCTACCCCCGGGGGTCATGATTTGAACAATTTAGAATCTACACTACCCCAGGATGCTTCCACATAAGTTTCAGCTTTTCTGGTCCAGTGGTTCTTGAGAAGAAGATTTTTAAAGATTTTTCCTATATATTTCAATGTAAAACTTGGATTCCCTATTGTGGCCCCGCCTAACCCCCGGGGGTCATGATTTGAACAATTTAGAATCTACACTACCCCAGGATGCTTCCACATAAGTTTCAGCTTTTCTGGTCCAGTGGTTCTTGAGAAGAAGATTTTTAAAGATTTTTCCTATATATTTCAATGTAAAACTTGGATTCCCTATTGTGGCCCCGCCCTACCCCCGGGGGTCATGATTTTTATAATTTAGAATCTACACTACCCCAGGATGCTCCCACATAAGTTTCAGCTTTTCTGGCCCAGTGGTTCTTGAGAAGAAGATTTTTAAAGATTTTTCCTATATATTTCAATGTAAAACTTGGATTCCCTATTGTGGCCCCGCCCTACCCCCGGGGGTCATGATTTTTACAATTTAGAATCTACACTATCCCAGGATGCTTCCACATAAGTTTCAGCTTTACTGGCCCTGTGGTTCTTGAGAAGAAGATTTTTTAATGACCCCACCCTATTTTTGTCTTCTCTTGATTATCTCCCCTTGTGAGGGGACTTGGCCCTTCATTTTAACAATTTAAATTCCCCTTTACCCAAGGATGCTTTGTACCAAGTTTGATCAAAATTGGCCCAGTGGTTCTTGAGAAGAAGTCAAAAATGTGAAAAGTTTACAGACAGACGGACAGACGGACGGACGGACGACGGACAAAATGTGATCAGAAAAGCTCACTTGAGCCTTCGGCTCAGGTGAGCTAAAAATGGCAGACATTTTGTGAAATAGTTAAACCCATCTAATCTGATACCTGTGCAATCCATTTCACAGTGAATTACAACTTTTTATTTCTTTTCCACTTAAGTATTTTCCACGTTCTTTACACCATTAAAACGAACACCCTATTCAGACATAAAATGTGAATTTCAGTGCAGGTCAGATTAGACAGATTTCACTGTACTACTTTCTAATCTTCAGACACCCTTACCTCCTCTTACAGTTCATTGACGCCACTTTTTTCCACTTTTTGTTGCCCTGGTGAAACACTTCCACTGTGCTCAACCTTTCTTCTCCATCAAATCCACCAATAGCATATAGTCTACCTATTATATCATTAAAACATTTTCCTTTATGAAAGAAAATCATATAATATGAAGGTAGTCCAATCCTCAGGTTCTGAAAATCAGGAGATGACTTATTGAAAATGTTCACAAAAATGTCTCTGAATTCTATAAGTAATGTGTATTTACCCAGGGTATTTCTTCAAAGTATTTCTTCAAAATACATTTACTATAGGATTGAATAGGGAAATGCTTTTTTTTTCACACTTTAAAACAAATTATAAAAATACTGCAATAGACTTTTTCCTCAAATATGTAATGAGTAATACTATATTGTGCATTATATGTAAGAAACACAAAATTCTACCATACGGTATTATTCCTATGTTATTCCCTTTATTGAATTCCACAAAATATGATAGATTTATACAAAAAAGTGAGATTTTCATATTCCTGTGCTTAAAATTTTGAGAGCATATATTTTATACATTTTCTTTTATAATACTTTTTATGACCAACTTCAATTTATCATAATGTCACAACACACAGTAACGATCTCCATCTACTTATCAGTTGAAAAATTGTGCCATAGAGTTCTTATATCAACAATCATGCATATTTGGCATTGACCTCTGAACTAGTGGCCTCAAAACCTACCCACCTCCTTCAGATTTGTAGATATGAAGTTTGATTCATTAAAATATATTAAAAGAATTCAAAGGAAAAAAATAAATCTTATTTTGATCTTCGACTAAATGACTTCACAATCTTATTGTGTTCTCTTTGAACTATTGCTCATCTCTGCAGAAATGTACTTTCTATATAAAAAAAAATGACTGCACAATAATAATGTAAGGACGGGTATATTTTTTGTACCGCAATATGATACTATTACATGTATTTTGTGTATTGTGGTATACTTGTAAATCAATACAACCTTAAAGGGGACCTCAATTTTGCTGCTGGGGCCCTAAATATGATTAAATTTCTACCTAGGGAAAAACTGGAGTTGTCCTTAAATTTTTAAGTGTGATGGATATGGGCCAATTTGTTTACCATTTAGCACAGCCACGCCCACCCTACTCCTCACGGTCTTCATATCCTCCGCAGAGTTCCATATGTTTGTGATTGGGTCGTAACATTCCACAGTACTCATTGAATCACCTGTTAATTAAAACCTTAACAGTTAATACATGTATTAGATTGTCGATCTGATAAACACTTGCATAGTATTTCCCACACTGTTTATGAAACTCATAATTCTTTATAATGGGTTAAGGTTTCAGATGTGAATTTAAGCAAAAACTAGAGCATTTATATTGTGACACTTTTCACTTATATTAAAAAAAAAAGTACATGTACTTCCTTGCTGTCCTAACAAACGGATAACATATTTCATCCTGAAATCAAAAATTCCAGCTGAGGAGGAGTATACACTCACAACTACAGCATACCTGATGGATTCCTGATCGCATTTTTTGCAGAATTTGATATCCCTGTATTTGTGTATACCCACCTGAGGATGTCAGTCCACCTACTGCGTAGATTAACCCCGGTACATCTGTACAGCATCGTGGACGTGTCTTAAAGGTCTGCATCAGGGACCGCCTCTCTGGCATCAGGTGATAGTCCTTTGCTTCATCTAACAAATCCCTGTAAAAAAAAAAAAAATACTGCAACTTTTAAAAACAAATTTTACTAACATAATATTTTCTCTCACATTTTGCTCATTTTTGGTAAAAAAAAAATTGTCTAAATTTTGACATAAAATTTTCTTTAGCATTGATATATAAAAATATATCACTAATGGTCCATGCATCTTAAATACAGATTTAAATCAAATATCATTAATATACAGCAGATGCATGAATTGCTATTTTACCTGCATTTCAGACAATTTTTGACCAAATCTTCAGTTGCCACTCGATCAGATAAATACTGCGGGGTCAGTAGAGGCAGCCTCACTTTCACCATTAACTCTGGCATGGCTGATCGCCTCTTCTCTTCATCTTTTTTAATCCAAGACAGAAAAGCTTCAAAAACCTTGAAAATAAAATAACAGTTTAAAAAAGGTGAAATCTGCCATCTGGTCAAATGTATATCTACTACACATGTATTTTCTATAACTATTAATTCCTAGAAAATTCCAAAAATTCTGCCAAAGATAATAAATAAGAGAATAACAGTTTGGTTAATTATTAGAGCAATAGCATTAATAGTAGGATATACATGTATGTATCAAGAAGGATTTTCTTGCTAGAGATTAATGAAGGTCTGACCAAGATACTGTTCTTTAATTGCAAGTTTAAGAAACAACAATTAGGGTACAAAACTCTGTGTCCCCTCAAGATGATATCATACTGCTAAAATACTTAAGTACAGGTGTACTTACATGTATAATGTACTCAACCCAGTCTCATACTACACAAACCTGTTCCTCAGAGTGAACATTGAGTTCGTCTCGAGATATAATCTCCATAACCTCTCCTTTGTTGAGATTCAGGAACTCTTCCATAGCCATGACCTCCTTGAAATGTTTCTGTATATACTTATTTGTGTACTCCACCAACGACTGACACATAAACTGGTCCCCAAAAGAGCGGATCCCCAAAACATTTGTTGGATGTAAACTGAAAGATGAATATTTATGTGGAAATATTAACATGAAAGAAAAAGGTCAATTATAAGTTGTCAATGTGAATTGTTTTGTAGAATATTTTAAATACTTAGATCTGACAAAGAGATTCCATACAACAAACAAATTAATGTTATTCTAAATAACTTTCCAGATGTTTAAATGTATCTACAACAATGTCGTGTGAACTGATGTTAATTTTCAATGAACTGTGATGTTAAAATTGGCTTGCACTCAATGTCAAAAAACTTGATTCATAGACAGATTGATGAGAACACTGGATACATTACCGGTACACATGAGTAATTAGAGAGCCGGTTACCTCTTTTTCAGGAAATCACAACAAGCCTCTTTGACTGACTGTAAATGGAGGAAACTGGCCCCGACTAACAGAGACTGGACATTGTTTGAGTCAATCTCTACACTGCCATTGTAAGCGAAATTCACCAAAGCCTCAAGAGCACTAAAAGAGAAAAGTGGAGTCTCTTTGGTGCATTAAGTTTTCAGAAATTAATAAATCTAAGTCATGCTGAATTTATTATAAAGACAGACCTTATTCTCAGATAAACATAAAATACATGAGGCAAACTTTTAAATTTTCATTTGACAAGAAAAAAAAAATAATAAAATAAAATAAAATAATTGTATAAAATAATAATAATTAATCAAAATAATCACTGTCATGCTTTACATTATTTGAACTTTTTTTTTCTTGTACAAAGTGTGAAACTGCATGTGAAATTGTGTGCATTTGGTGCTGAAATCACCTATTATGGAAATACACATCTTAAAATGTTTCACATTATATTTTAGTACTTTTTATGAATCTATACCTGGGATCGATGCCTTGCATTGTAATTTCATTCTGTTTTGATTCTACCATGTCATGTGTAAACATGGCATGGAAATATGGGATACTCGCAGCCAAGACAATCCGATGTGCTGTGAACTTCCTGTCTCCAACCTACTCAAAATAAATCACCTGTATATGTAAAATACAGTAAATTACAGAGCTTAAGGACACCTCTAGAAATGACCAAAATTGGCTTATTTCACCCACTGTATGTAACAACTTGTGATGTCCCAAATTAAAATTATTTTATGTCTTTGGGTGATGACATGACTTCATTTAAAATGTGTTTCCATATTTAATCGGGGTCAAAGGCTGGTAAAGGTCTCGAGGGGTGCAACTGATGTCACTAAGTTACACTACCAAAACCTCGAGTTAATGCCTACCGTCTCAAATAGGTTCTGCCAGCTAGTCACATGTCACACCTCCTCGTGGTGACCCTGGAAATGCCTTCAGTAGCTGAGTGACAGTGGCAAAAGGCGAGTCTCCAGCGCCTTTAAATAACTGGAACCTGTGACTAGGGGAAGGAAAACCCCAACAGAAAACCACCGGTCCTCCGGGTCCAGGGGGTTTTACATAGGGTTAGCAGCCCTATCATGTAAAAACTCTCAACGCTACAGAAACCAGAGCAACAGAAGAAGAAGAAATCCAACGCTTGACTCAGGGAGAAGCCTCACCTAGAGGTCGTAAGACGCAGACTGGTGAAAGCCGTATGGAAACCAGTCAGCCGAAAGTTCTCCTGACAATGAAAGCAGCAACAAGAATAGGAACCTGGAATGTGCGAACCATGTTTGAAACAGGGAAGGCAGCCCAGGTAGCCAGAGAGATGAGGAGATACAACATCCAACTACTTGGAATATGTGAGAGCAGATGGAATGGAACTGGCATGTCTTCATTGACTAGTGGAGAGAAGATCATATACTCTGGACATGCAGATGAAAACCATGAACACACTGAAGGAGTTGCCATCATGATGTCACCAGCTACTGCCAAGGCACTGATTGAATGGGAACCAATCTCATCAAGGATTATGACAGCAAGATTCCACTCCAAAGGAAGAGAAGTAACTGTAATCCAATGTTACTCACCAACAAACACTGCAGATGAAGAAACAAAAGAAGATTTTTACACAAAACTGCAGGCAGCAGTGGACAAGGCACCAAGGCGAGACATGAAAATCTTGATGGGTGACATGAATGCCAAGATAGGTTCAGACAATTATGGGAAAGAACTCATCATGGGTACCCAGGCACTTGGAAACATGAATGAGAATGGAGAGCTGTTCACAGATTTCTGTGCATTCAATGACCTTGTGATAGGAGGAAGTGTATACCAGCACAAAAACATCCACAAAGAGACTTGGATCTCCCCTGATGGAAAAACCAAGAACCAGATAGACTTTATTACTATCTCAAGGAAGTGGAGACACAGCCTCCTTGATACAAGATCAAGAAGAGGGGCTGATGTAGCTTCAGACCACCACCTAGTACAAGGCACTATTAAAGTCAAGTTGAAAGCCTTCAAGGACAACTGTGACAGACCACACATCAAGTTTAACACCCAGAGACTTCAGGAAAAAGGCACAAGAGACACCTTTAGCATCACACTGAAAAACAGATTTGAGGTCCTTAACAACGTCTGTCAAGTAACACCACTAGAAGAACACTGGAACTCCATCAAAGACAACTGGAAAGACACATGCGAAGAGATCCTAGGGAAAAGAGAAAAGCAAGACAAGGAATGGCTTTCAGGAGACACATGGAAACTGGTTGAAGAAAGAAAACTTCTCAAACAGCAGATTATGAGCTGTGAGGAGGAACAAAAGAAACAAGAATTAAAAGACAGACACACTATCCTAAACAATGAAGTAAAGAAAAGTGCAAGGAAAGATAAAAGACACTTCTATAATAAGCTAGCTACAGAAGCTGAGGAAGCAGCAGAGAAAAGAGACTTCAGTTCCATGTACAAAATCACAAGAACCCTGGCTGGGAAGAGACCACCACAGACCAAGCCAGTAAAAGACAAGCAAGGCAACGCTATAACAAAGGAAGAAGACCAGAGAAAGCGCTGGGCAGAACACTTCAGAGAACTCCTAAATCGCCCAACACCAGAAACAACACCAAACATACCACCAGCAGACTCTGAACTAGCAGTGATCACCGCCCCTCCCACAAGGGCTGAGACCATCAAGGCTCTGAAGAAACTAAAGAGTGGGAAAGCAGCTGGGCCTGATGGAATTCCTCCAGAAGCCCTTAAGGCAGACATAAAGACTTCAGCAGATATGTTACTACCTCTCCTGCAGAAGATCTGGTCAGAGGGGAAGGTACCAGCTGATTGGAAAAAAGGACATTTAGTGAAGCTACCCAAGAAAGGAGACCTGGGACAATGCAAGAACTGGCGCGGCATCATGCTCCTCTCTGTCCCAAGCAAGATCCTGACAAGAATAATACTGGAAAGACTCAAAGATGCTATAGAAGAACGACTTCGTCCAGAACAGGCAGGCTTTAGAAAGGACAAGTCCTGTACAGACCAGATCGCCACTCTACGTATAATAATCGAACAGTCACTGGAGTGGCAGTCAACACTGTATCTGAACTTCATCGACTTTGAAAAGGCCTTTGATAGTGTTGATAGAAAAGTCATCTGGAAACTACTACAGCATTATGGAACGCCTCCTACCTTTATCAACCTCATACAACAATTGTATGACGAGGCTACATGCCAAGTCATCCACAATGGAAAGCTTACAGAAGCGTTTGAGGTGCAGACAGGGGTTAGACAAGGCTGTCTACTGTCACCAATGATTTTTCTAGTGGTAGTAGACTGGATCATGCGGGAAACAACTAGAGATAGCAAGACAGGAGTCCAGTGGACTTTCACTCAGTGTTTGGAAGACCTCGACTTTGCAGACGATCTATGCCTTATGTCCCAGAAGTATGAGCATATGCAGCTCAAGACAAATAGGCTTGCAAAGGAAGCAGCAAAGACAGGTCTACAGGTGAACATTGACAAGACAGAGGTAATGCGGCTCCAAAACAAACAGCAAACACCAATTACGCTTGGAGAGCACAAACTGAAAGATGTAGACTCCTTTACATACTTAGGCAGCATCGTCACAATCACTGGTGGAACAGATGAAGACATAAAAGCAAGAATTAATAAAGCGAGACACGTCTTCATCACCCTCAAGCCTGTGTGGAAATCAACAGCACTGTCCACACCCATAAAACTCCGCATCTATAACACCAATGTCAAGTCTGTGCTCCTCTACGGGTCTGAAACATGGAGAGTCACCAACACCACCTCCAACAAACTACAAACCTTCGCAAACAGATGTCTGCGCCACATACTAAACATCAGATGGCCAGAAAATATCAACAACAAGAACCTGTGGGAAACAACAAACCAAGACCCAATCACTAAACAAATAGCCCGTAGAAAGTGGCGGTGGATTGGACATACCCTCCGAAAACCATCGGGAGACATTACACGCCAAGCACTCGAGTGGAACCCCCAAGGCAAACGGCGAGTTGGGCGTCCCAGGACAACTTGGCGAAGGTCATGTGAAGAGGAAATCAGACAGTGTGGACATAGCTGGGAACAATTGAAAAAGGCTGCTCAAAACAGAGTTCGATGGAGGACTGTTGCCGAGGCCCTATGTTCCACCAGGAACCAAAAGGAACCATGATTGATATTTAATCAGATTTTATACATTATCAAGCTCTGACAGGATTAATAAAAGAAACACATCCTTATAATAAATTCCATCCTTAACCCATAAATGAAATTTCAGACTCAAAATTTTGGCAGAGAGAGGTAGGTATTTAGCATTTTTAGAGCTAGTCTAGCTACTTATGCACCAAATGCCTTGTCAATGATCAATCATTTACTAAGTGTTATCCTTCATCCATCCCATTACAAATATTAACATGATTAATATACAGATATTATGGTTTTAATACCCACAGGAAGAAAGTCCCTAGCAAGAGTTCAATTACTGGAGAACAGTGTTTGTGATAATTACACTTGATTACATGTACAATGTTCTTAAATTTATATAGGAAACTGACATATTATACATTCACTAATAGTTTAATACAGGCCAGCCTAGCTCATAGTTTGTAACTAATGTCAATAACACTTCTATAAGTACGAATATTGAAAAAATTAGAGGTTGTATAGAAATGAATGTACATGTATATGCAACACTATTGAAGTTCTTTTGACTTTTACCTGAAGAAGAAAAAAATGATAAGAAAAATACTGATGAAATGGGAACAAAAATATATATAACACAAAAACATGATGTCATAACAAGGACTATTTAGGTATAATTATGTCAGCTTTATCTGAAGTGATTAGTCAATGTGGGTCCAAATTATGTTTTTCAGTCAAATTTAATTAACTGCCCTTTATTTACCGGTAGTTATTTTGAAACATTACTTTGCAAAATCTGGCCCTCTATGAACCTTGCTCCTCACAACTTTACAATAAGTAAAAATAAACCAATTCCTGTCTGTATAACCAGTTATTACCTCATTTGCATCAGTAACATGACCTTTAGCCTTCATTATTAACTTGTGATCTGTTAAGAATTGACCTTTTACAAAGAAATATTCGAGAATGCTGCTTGATGAATGCTGGAATATTTTAGAGACGAGATGTACAGATCTTTTCACACAGTTACATTTTATTTTCTAAGCTATTTCACTCTAAGATGCAATGACGCACAAGTACTCTATATGTACATAATTAAGGGAAATGATTTCCATCTCAATGTCTGTGTGCACTGCAACAGATTACGAATGTATATGCATCTTTTTGATGAGTATGATTATGAAAAAGAGATATATGTACTCTTAGTTCACACAATCAAAACTATATGCTGTTTAAATGGGTATCGGGTTGGTTCGCCCAATCTACCTGTTCGCCTGAGTCTGTTCATCCGAAGTACATTGCTTTAAAACTCATTTGCCCTAAAAATTGTTAGCCCTAATAATCATAAATGTAATGTTAACATTTATGTCAAATTTTAAGTACTAAGATCTTATTTATTTTGATTGTTTTTTATTTACTTTGTATGTAGTCTGCAGTAATAGTTACATGACTTGTATTTTTTTTAATTATTATAAATTTATCTGATTTCCAATATCAATGTTTGGTTTACTTATTATTAATTTTAAAAACTGTATATCGGGGAACTCTTATTGTTTAATTTTAATGGGGTTTTTTTTCCAACTTGCCTTATGTTTTAAAAACAATTGAAAAATTGAGCCATTAACAAACATTTGTTTAAAAAAAAAAACAATTTTCAAAAATTTTAAATTTAACCCATGTACATGTTCAACACTACCTGGAACATGAGTTGAAAAGCAGGTCATCAATCAGTGTAATTGGTCACCAAATAGCCTGTAAAAATATCATAATACTAGTATTTGGTGTTTGTATTTCATAACCCATGTCCTAAACTAATGACCTGAAACACTGGGCGCACTTGTTTCATAAGCCGGGTCAAGCCGGCAGATACTTCCGGAAGCGGGCAAGTAACTTGTTTCAAATATTTTTAAGCCGCCGGGCGGTCAGAAAGTAGCCCGGATCGCCCGAAAAAATTCGAGCGGCCAGATGAAAAGCAATATGGCGGAAAACGGAGGTAGAAATTTCCTTGATGATGAAATATTCGTTTTTTATCATTTGCAGTGGTTTCAATTTTAATAAACATACAGTACTGAGGTCATAAGTAACTTTTACGAAATGTTCGTTTATATTTGCACGACCAACACCTCCTTTTTATAATTTTAAAGTTACTTTTCAGTTTTGTTTGTAACGAGGCCCTGTACTACAAATTAAGAGATTGTGCATTGGATTGATCTAGAAAATACTAAAATGCAAATATATCCACTAAATCGTTGTCCTCGTCCGTTCAGAGAAAATTATATATTGCAGAAACAGCACCCATAACAGTAGCAGCCATTTTTCGGCTGAATTTTCATTCGTTTCAGCGACACTAACCGGGTCAGTATGTCATGTGATAAAAGTGAACCGGGTCATCGCCCGGATGTCTGAAACAAGTGCGCCCATTATCAGTTCTTACCTGTTCAAATAAAACTGTCATTGATAAAATCTGCTTTTCTTAAATGACATTTTGTATGAAATGTCGGGGGGGGTTGTAATTGGGGGGGTTGAAATTACAAGTTTGGCTATCATTTTATACATGTTGTTTCCCCTGGTTTTACCAGTCTAGACGAACTCCAAAAACAGCGTTTCCGGAAGTAAGAAATTGAGACTGAAAAAGACTCCGAAAATAGAGTCCGCGCATGCGCACACACACAAAAAATGGCGATTTTTCGGCAAAAATGATGGATCTACAAAAACTGTCCGTGCAAAGTTTTGAAAAGTATGGCAATTATGCCAGTACTCAGAAATGCTAAACAAAAGACTTCGGAAGAGATCTTATTTGTCAGATTTTTTATTTTATTTGCAAAAAAGGAGATATTTACTTTCAAAGTTAACGTTACAAGTCAGATCAATAACAGAGAAAATGATACGTTTTGAGAAGTAAATATGCATAATGAAAGAGATATATATGCAAAATAGGACATATATATTGTAACTGTTAAAAACTTGACTGAATTTTACACATAAATTAGCATTCCGGTTTTTTATTTGTGTACGACATCGGAATTGAACGCGTAAGTTCTTACCATTGTTATTTACCAATTTTTTTTTATCACATACGAACAGATATTATTATGAAAACATTTTTAAAACTATTTTCTATTAATATGAAAACTTTAAAAACCACTCTTCTAGATATTAAGGGCACAACATGTCTTCTAAAAATGAACCTGCTAATATCTCTGCTCCATGGTGAAAAATGCGCATTTTCTGATTAAACTAAATACAAGCTGGGTGTCTTCAAAAACAAATAAAAGCACCTTTATTGTAGGAACGACATAAAATTTAAATCAAGGGGACAATAAATTAAATAAGAAAATATTTCTTACCGGCAGTATTGAATTCGATGTCGTATATCCAATTCACTATTATGCAAGAGTTTGAAGCAATAAATAAGTCAATATCCACAAAATAATTTAATAAATGCAATTATCCATTCAACAAAAAATAAAATGAAGTAACAATGCACTTAATACAGCCATTATGCAGCCGTATAATTAGAGAAAGCGAACGACAATTCATCGTTTGTTTACATCGGACGCCATTTTGCCGCAATGCATGATGGAGCCAAAGACTTCGTTTTCGGAGTTCACGCTGTTTTTGGAGTTCGTCTAGACTGTTTACATTAATACGAAGTTGTGTCTATAATGACGCAGCGGAACAGAGAAATCGACTATATAATAGACCTAATCAGTGCTAATCACTCGTTTACAACGTACGCCCATATTTAACTGTTACCAGTTAAATGAGTTTAACCCCAGACTTTACCACTAGTTGTCTTTAAAGTAACGGGAAAAAAACTTTCACCGAATTTGCAAAGCTTACACAAATTATTTTTCCACTGAACATACAATACTATCGGGTGTGAAACTGAAAGATGGCGGGATAAAATGCATCACCTTCAGTGTAACATCACAGAGTTTCCCCTGTCTTCGAATATCTTCAAACATGGGAAATGCACATTTAGGCAAATCCTCCTTGATAAAACGAACTACAGAGTCCTCCGCCATCCTCCCAGAAAGAACTATGGAGACAACAATCCACCTTTAGCCTTTACTGATATTCCATCTCTTTGTTGACATTTTGACTTTAAATGTTGCGTTCGAATATAGATAGGTCGTTCGTTTACTGGGTTACATTCGCAGCTGATTTTTAATTATATATATATATACTCTTTTCATGTTTTAAGAAACACTGACACTAGTTAATTAAGGTTCATAACATAAAAAGTTTTTTTTGTAATGTGAAAACTATCTCTATATAATATTTTTTTTAAATAAAAGAAACCAATTTACGCCTCTGGAGTTTTGCTTTGCTGAACTATCAATAATTATTATTGTTCTTTCTTTGACCTTATAGCCTGGAATCAATAGTTTACTTGTCTGTAGTATTTGAGCATAATAATAAGAGGTAAATTGAGGCTAGCGCTACAGTTATTTGTTTTCATTAGGGGACGACCATTTGATGGGGGGGGGGGGGGGGGGGTGCGTTGGCAGTTTTTTGAAATCAATAAGCT